TTGGCGGTCTGTTATACAGACTTGACTTGTTTGCTGTCAATAATGAAACGCTAGATCTGGACAGCTTTTTAATAACATGTTATGATGATTTCACGGCAATCATCTCTGGTGTACTGAAGTTACCGGAATCGGTGGGCAGTTCTGCCAAATAACCCTGGAACGCTATAGATCCGAACTTGGGGGGTATAAGAAGAACTTGCTATAATGAAAAGTGCCTTGTCTGGCAAGCGAGTGTCAAGGTAGTCATCGGCATTCAATGCATGCGGATTAATTAATAATATTGGTCATATGAACAGGCCACCATGCCATTCAATAACATTATGATATAACGTGTTTCGGTATTATAAGACGAGGGTAACGAGTAGAAAGCAAGGAATTCAAGCCAGCTAGTGATAGTGGATGGTACTATTCAAACCAATCAGGGATCACTACTTCCCCGGTGAGTGCAGAAGTATTCGCTTGGCCACCTTGGGCGACATCCAGCTGGAATTCACGTACCAATTGGTCCCAATCTGACCAAGATGGGGAAGCAGATGACAAAATGCTAGTATCGACCTGCGTGATCGCCGCCGGATCTGCCCACTGGGTTTCTAGAGCGGTGCCCAATTGTGGTATGGTAGTAAGGTTATAGTTCTGGTTAAGAGTATTATTGTCGATGTGCATGTCTGAACTTAAACTGGAGTAGCTGGTTGGTTCACGCAGGTATTGTGGTGGTGAGGAGGAGGAGGTCAGGTATGTACTAGAAGGGTCTGTGGACGGAGTAGCTGCACATGAGCCTGGGATATCAAGGTCTTGTTTTCCGCGCTGCAGAGTAAGCTGGTGAAGTTGCTTTTCTCGGAATTTCACCGCTCTTGCCATCAGCTTGCGAATGGCTGGCCAGAGCATACCGTTCTTTTTCTCAGAGTGCATATTCCAAGCCTCGTAAACAGAATTGATTGCTCTCCACGCACGGTCAACTCCAGGGCAGAGTGGCCTGACGCACAGCTCGGACAGGAGAAATGCAACTGCATGCCACTGCATGTGTGTCCTGAAAAGCCAGCCCCACTTCGCCGTATTAACATTCGTTTCTAAAAGTCGAGAAAATTCAAGGATTTCCACGGATGTCATCAGAAGCCGGTCATGGGTTTCTTTGGCTATCGGGTTGCGTTGAGATTTCTGAACCATTGGTTGGTGTATCATAAGCCATAATTTTGCAATTACCAACCGGGAAACAGTGGCGCAGACCCAGTGGATAGGGATAGTCATATCACAGTGCCGAACAAATCGCGTCTCAAGGTTAGAACTGAGCTTGTCAATTAGTTCTTCTCTCTCAGCCATGGAGTAGCGAGAAACCTGTAGCCTGCAAGAAGAACTGGGTGGGATAAAGCTCAGCCTCTTGTTGACGACAGCAATCTCGCACCGAATCAGAAAGAATGATGTTTCGACGCAGCCTTCTTTCTCTTCTGGGAAATCCACAGAATCCGGAGAAATGTCGTCATCATTGATGTTCAAGGGCATGCGGGTGTCATATGAAGATTCATATATGAACGGGTCACATCCATAGTCTTCAGATGCTCGGAAATTAAGAATGCAAATATGCCACCATAAACGTCTGCGCATCTCTGTTTCAAAGGGTGATAGGTTGAAATTAGTTCCATCTCGCTGAAGGCCTAAACCCTGCGCGATACGGTAGGCGATGGATATCATTGACCACACGTAACGAGTATCATCGTGTTGTCTCACGCATAGCAAGAATAAAACTAATCCTTGAAGCAAAGTAAAACTCCCAGAGTGTAAGATTTTTGCCCGACCTAGTGCTTGCTCAACGGCAAAGCGATAACGGCCTAGGACAATGTCTCGGGGTTCTCCTAGACGAGCGAGACATTCTGCAGCACTCATAGACGCAGCACTTGTGTAGTATATGGTTAGCATCATTACCTCTGTGTTTTTGTCCAACGAATCAAGGTTCTTGATACCATGATAAAGCGCCGGTTTTAAAGTAGGAGTATGGAAAATAGGGACCATAGGAGCAATATTTTGAAGGTAAGTTTCCCAAAGAATGTCCACTTGGTTGGGTGGAGGATGAAAATCCCGAAGGCTTTGTGCGAGTGATGAAAAACCGAATAAGAACCCATCATGATTCACACCATAGGACTCATCAAAGGCAGACTCTTCAACCGTATCATTTTCATTGTCTGATGAAAGGGGATCAAGTATGCTTTTTAAATCATCCACCTTGGGACAAGTCAGTATTTGTACAATTAATATTTGTAAAAAGTGGGTTGCCATGGAAAAAGGAGATATAAACGCACCGTTTTCCCAAAACTAGTCCAAAATCGATGACTAACATATTGGCTACCTCCCTCTTCGACCATTAATTTGCCCATATTTTCCTCAATTTCACTTGTATCAGGGGCCTCGCTCTTGACTGTAGCATCCTGTTGCATTGCATCTGAGGTATTCGCATAATCTTTCGGCTGCTCGATAGCGCTGTTTTGGTGGAGAGGGGGCTTTTTCAATGATAATGATGATGGATTTCCATGTATTGCGTCTGGCCCTCCGAGGTTCTTTACAATATTCTCCAAAGTTCGTAAGCGCGCCAGCAATTCTGTATCTCGGGGCTTTTTTGGCTTCCTTGGGGCTCTCCCAGGGCTAGGATACACGCATTCGATTTTTGCCTTGATGCAGTTGGAGCATGGGTGGTGTTTGTTGCAGCGGACCTTTCTGCGGCGACATGTTACGCAACTTCTTGGGTTGGGTGACGCCTCTGGAGGGGCCGCTGTAGCCGCCTGGAGGAATGCTGGAGAAGTCGAGTCACTGGCGGATTCGTTCTGCTGGAGCTGCGAACCACTCTTCGTTACAACATCTGCTTCTGGTGAGGTTAGTGCGGTTTCTGATGCATATGTGTTAGGCGCCAGCTGCTGTGAGACCGGAGCACTCCCTCCAACGTTCTTCTCCCATTGTTTCGGAGTCTCTGGCTGGGCCATGCTGGTCAGATGATGGGCCCCTCGGCGTATTGAGATGTTATGGCGGAACCGTTGTCGGCAGTAGGCCGTCCTGGTGATGTGGGGGTGCAGACTGGGGTCGAGCTAGCAGTCGTCTTTTCCGTCCGGTCCTGCTGCTTCCAAGGTTTGGACGTTCCGTTGGCGCGCACAGGAACAAAATTAAGCGCTCTGATTCGCGCTTCGCCGGCCGCGGCTGTTCCCGCAACGTCAAGGCAAGATTCGAAGCTTAATTTATCGTCAACCGAACTCTTTGCTTCTCTCTTGAGTGCTCCAGGCCAGCGCTGGATGTTGTTCTGCTTACCTTTGAGAAGGGCAGTGCAACTGTCGTATTCTCTTCAAGGTATGGAGTACTCCATAAGCAGGTGACGAATGCATGCGATAGATAACCGACTAACCAGTCAATTAGTCAACTAGTTAGTTAACTAGCTAACAGGCTAACTACTAGGCTAACTAGCCCGGCTCGCGCGTCCATGCATGCTCCAACGTCGATCTTGCGTCGGTATGAGAAACAAAACAACGGTGCCATGCGGCAGAATTGGTGATTACACAACACATAATTGTGATACACTCAACGGCTGATGCTAGGCAAGATATGATTTTGGGGGAAGAAAAAACATAATTGATATGGGTGTGGCCCATTCATTCCATCAATTGGCACCTCCTTTCAAACCTACCGCTACCACTGGTTCAACTCGACCTGTCATGCCCTTTTTTAACCTCCGGACCTGACATTTATAGCTGCGGCCGTAATGAGCCAGGCTTACCGAGCTAATTTTCTTCCTTGTCGCCTTGCATTGTACTACCCACCGAACAGTACATTTTTGTAGCATGCTATGTTTCCTAAAACCGGAACCAATCAGCTATGGACGTCACTGACAAACATTGCATATTGTAGCAACCTTAGCGGCTAACATCAAGGATAAGAAAGGCATTCGGTTGTCCTTGTTTTGCAGCTCACAGTTGCTGCGCCGCATACTTTGAATACCCAATGGTGATAGTGAAACTGCATAATATTGATGCAGAGTACCATCTTATCACCTGAGACATCCTTGGCATCAGTTCTTGCCTTGCTATTCGATTTTTTTTTTTTTTTTTTTTAATGGCATACATTGGTTGAGGTATCGCGTGTATCTTTGTTGGCCAACAAACACCAGCAGAATGGGAATGCTTACCCATTTTAACGGCGATCTGAAAGGCGTTTGACTTTCCGTGGGTGTTGGGAGAAGCCTCTTGAAAACTCAAATATGGACTACTTAAGGTAACCCAAAGGTCCAGACCCATATCTGGAGTTTGGTATTGAACCTTCCCGAAATTCACAGCGTTGATTACGCTCGGAGATATACTGCAGGCTCATGAAACATACCCAGGTTAATTGAGGCTCACAATTTTCATCAGAATTTGAGTACTTGCTCCGTAAAGAACAAGTTTACGCCCCACATCTCACTCAAACAACATGGCGGCAGTTTATTTGCCGTCTATGAAAACTAGGAAGAGAAATGCCTGTGACAAATGTCATAACCTAAAGAGCAAATGCTTGAGGACCTCAGAGGATAATGAGTGCAAGCGATGTGCAAGACTCGGATTGGACTGTGTGTACAGTGCACCCTTGCCCCTTGGCCGGCCGAGAGGAAGAAGACGTCAGAATTCTTCTAACAACACTGCTCCATCCGATGATACTAGCTCATATATAGCTTCCTCTGAAGTATCATTGAGTCTAGGTACACTATCTCTCCCCGTAACTTTCATACTTGCTAATGAGCTATTAGGTGGCAATTATACATACCAGAATAGCGGGGGAGGAGAAACTCAACAGAACTATAGTAAGTGGACCCTAACGACGTCACGCATAACTAAGGTACTGATAACTCTATAGCACCATCATTACACAACTCACTCTCTGACCCAGTTACGTCGAATAATGGACGTAATTATTGTGCCCCTCCCTCTCGATACTATACAGATCAGGAAAACCAGAGTTTAGCCATGGACATCGTCACGAATAACTTGTCTACCAGTGCCTCAAATAACCAGCAAACTATAACAGACAATCTTCAGTTTGAAGATATTGGCTTCCAAAATATTCAAACCCAACTGTCCTTCTCCCTCGACCCTGATTTGTCTACCACAATACCGAATAGCTCCAACAATGAAAGCTATCAAGAAGTATCTTACCGTCGACTTTATCAAATTTACCGTCTTCACACCAGGATTCAGGATCTAGTGGCCTTCTTTTCTTCCCCGTCTACCCAGACTTTAATAAACACAATACCACCTAACCGTGATGCAACACTATCTGAAATTCTCAGTGCTACTGACGAACTTGTCCAAATCATCAGCACGTCTGGATCTGAGATTGATATCTGCAGTGATATTTCCCAGGATAGACCATCGCACTGCCAATCATACAACCAGCCGGCCATCGCCTTCCCTTGTTACACCAGCCCAAGTTCTCGACCCTTGAGTTTTCCAATCATTATATCTAGCTACACCAATCTTCTCCAGATATATGAGCCTGTCATTACAGACCTATTCACTTTGATCCAAAGACTACCATCCTCATCCCCATCCCAACAGCAACGATGGCTCAACAGTCCTACTGGAGTTTTACTCCAAGCGGCAGAAATTCTACCCGGGAGACTGAGAGTCCTATCCGACAAGGAGCCAAATGTCTATTTTCTCGCGAGTCTGGTCTCTCAGTCTGTCGAACGACTACGGAATGCAATCTGGAGCTATTTGCGGATGTTGTTCCCAGAACAACGTAGCCAAAATCTCATACATGCAACTGTGGGTTCACATTCCCAGTTAACGGAGAGGGTACCACCAGACATGCGCTATAGAGAGCAAAGAATTCTAGCGTGGCTTCATGCGGTTAACAACATGCAATCAGAGCTATCGTTATACTAGAGGTGATCAATTTTCCTTTCCGTACGCATCTATTGTTCGGCTTACTTTTCGTGTACATTTGTAAGAAATATTAGATGCAGTGGCCCTCCAAGGCCCAGAAACTTAATACCGTTTGATACGTTGGCGTGTTTGATTTATATTGGACAATGTGTGTTGCTATCGAGAGAGACTAGGATTATTTCACGGCTTGAGAGACTAGTGGGATATTCACACCCGTGTCCAGTATCTTATGATGCACCTAAGACCACACCGAGATTCCATACAAAATGCACGCCAACCGCTAACTCTGGTTTAATACTTACCACACTAGACTTGGAGTTGTCAGCCTACTCGCCTCCCAGTTGTAAGAGATTCTCAGCCAAATGCGGGAGTACTTAGGACACATTCATCGGCGGGTCATAAGGCTCACTCCCCTCCACCCTTATTGAAAGCACAGACTACGGAGTACACCATTCATAGAATATCAAATTCTGACCCTCTGTGTCTCGGGAAGCTGCATCATATGGGCTGCATGATGCGCGATTCATGTACTCAACGGCTCTTGAGCTTGGAACATCCTAGATCTCAGCCAATCCGGTCATGGAATTCGTCTGCTTGGGGCTTTACAGAAAATAATCCGGAGATTCCAGAGGAGATTCCAGAGTCCCGGAATTATAGAACGTCGCTAAGGCAGATAACTGACCACTCTTTGAGAAAAGGTAATGAATGAAACAATCGTTCTAAACTTAGGGGTTTCTGTCAACATCTCAATAGGGAGATTTATCATGACTCGAAAAGTGACCGGAACAGGGCCTCAAAGAATCTGCTTGCGTACAGAGTGCAGATTCAATAAATTAGCCAACTCCAAGGCGCGTAGTTAGGGTAACTAACTATTGGGTAAGCGCCGTTTTGAGACTTTGTATCCAATATCCCCCCAATCAGTGGCAATTGCAGGACATTTTTCTAGCACATCAATGAAAGACTCGCATGTAGGGGAAAGGATTGACTAGCATGAGAGAGAGCATGAAATGCGAAATCCTTGTAGTCTTGATAGGATAAAGGCGAGACAACTGAGGAAATCTTCGCCGTCAGGGAGTCAAGTACCAGCCGCCCGTACAGAGCACAGAGTTAGCTGATTAGTTGGTTCTTTGGACTGTCGGCCCCCAAATAACTAAACCAACGCATGCTGACCATTCTTTCAATAATTGTTTAAGACATGGTCCATATCCTTGGGCCTAACTTTTTGCCTGCATCAAATTCCGAAGCCTCGCTAGTTACCTGGCTTAAACTATTTATATCCACGGTAAAATACGAACTCCTGAAAATCCACTCCCTTTTTGTTTTGTTTTTTTTTTTTTTTTTACTAACAAATGCAATGGAATAAAAAGGCTGGGAGTTGACGTAAACATCTGTCGTCTTTGCGATGGGAAATATTGATACCACTGTCGATTGGCTGATTATCCGTATCAATAATTCTGTTGCTGATCCGGCGGCAAATCAAAGAACGCCCTCGTACCAGGGTCTTGTCTTGCAGCAAATCCATAACTAACAATTCGAGGGCCTTGTTTTTACACGTCTGAGATGATCCAGACGTTATACCGACCTTAAAGGACATGTTTGCCTGGTGAGTTGGCTGTCGGGTAATCCTGAATACCTGGGCCTTGATAACTAGGAAGCACAAAGAGAGACTTCTAGGGGCTCCCAACTTCCAGGGTCTTCGCGGGACAGCACAGCAGACCGGAAGCGCCAAACGCAATGCCTGGATGGTTTCCGACTGAGAGGTTCGATACCGCAGGATGGCGACTGGAAGGCGTCGGCCTTCTCGCCGTCCTTGGGGAGTCATCTGTGGCTGATCAAGCCCAGCCGCTGACTGCGTCTAAGTTGTCTCTACTGCCGCGTTTGATACCAGCACCGCAGGCCCTGCTTCGTGCAACACGCCCGGTGAGGCTTCCAAGCCCTCCAGCAGTTGTTTGCGGCGTGCATTCAGGGACACTGGTTCATGAGTTGAATTACTTCCCCAATATCATTCATCCAATCGCCGACTTGAAGCCGTACCAAGTGGTTGTGTACGAGATCTCTTGGGCCGAGAAAAGAACCAAGTACGAGAAGTCACAGAGCATCAAGCTGGAAAAGCTGATCATGCCTGAAGGCCTACGCTCCAAAAGACCTGTCTCTGTGCCACCTCCGCATAAACATGGAAACAAATATGCAATTACTCCAAACAAGTGGTCGCCTCTAAGCCTGATCACCATCTCGTCCTTCCTGATGACCGCATGCGCCTTTGCTTGGGCCCTAGTCATAAGAGATGGGACGGCAGCAGTTGCAATTTTCCTAATGTCCATGGTGTCGACGCTGAACGGATTTGCTTTTTACTGGAAGCCTCATCTGGCCGTGCGGCCGTCGTCTGCAGTTGTGCCAAGGGGAGACATCATCATACGGACGCGCGAGGGCGCTTTTATTGTCGTGCGATGCACCGAGGAGCTAGCTCGCGAGCTATATACCGGTACGGAGGAATGCAACTACTCCCTTAGTGAGCAATGGGCAAGAGTTCTAGTGGGTATCGGAACGTTCCTCATCATGTTTGCCGTCGTGCTACTCGGCAACTGTGAATGGACAATGCAGGCTGTTGTGTCCGCAATTTACATGCTCATGAACGCCATGTACTGGGGATCATCGCTGATGCCTAAGAGTTGGATATGGGATATGTCTCGCTATGATTGGAAGGACGTCACCCCAGACAACGTCAAGGCAGCCCATGAGATTGGCAGCGATGGCGCCCAGCCAAGCTTCACACGGACTCTCTGGTATGCCATCCACGCCACGGAGGAGATTAACTGGGTGATTGTTAGCGGCGCGGTTCCGCAGACCCAAGCGTGGGAGAACTGGCTTGAGCTTGCATATGCAAACCGTACTGATCCAGACTGGGACGCCGTTGGTGAAAAAGATCGGTTGATGGCAGAAGCGCGCCGATCCCAGCTAGTACCGTCTCGTAAGGATCACGACAGTTAATGGCGTTGCGCCTTCTTCGATTTGATATCACCATTTTTGTGTGCCATGACCCATTATTCCCTATCTTCTCTGCCATTTTCTTTTCTTTTCTTTTCCTTTTTCTTTACATATTCCTTTTCCCCCGTTGATATAGGGGCTGGCCACGATTTCATGAAGTTTTCTTTTCCTCTGTATTGCAAATAACTACGAAGTACTCCCATGCAGGTAGGCCATGGCGTCTCTGTGACCCGTTTTGTCTCAACCTCATGACTTTTTTTCCATGCAATGCATCTGAACAGCGTTCAGGAGGGCCGTGCATCAGCTGCCGTTATCATAGCGCTGGTAGAGCAAGATTAGGATTAACCTCCGTAGAGGATTGATACATCAGCCTTTCGAAAAAGCAGAATGACGGGAATTGGAGATGTACCCGTCGAGATCAAATGTTAAGATAGTTCTGGTTCATTCATGCCGGTGTAGCCGGGGGATTGGCACTGCATCTAACACAGTTGGATCTAGTCTAAAATTCTCACCTGATATCACCGGTTGAGCAAAGGATAGGTCAACCTCAATAACATTTGAAGTTTCTCCCTGCGGGCGTTCTGGTGCTGTGATTGCAGCTTCGCCGTAGACTCGGGCAAGAAACCGCATCAACGCGCTCACAACATGCATTTTGGTATTCTGTGAGCTGCCAGCACAGCTTCTCAGTGCCTCTGCGATTAATCCAGGGGCGTAGTACGGCAGGATAGCTGGCTTCATATTCAGGCCATCAGCGCCCAACCCACCCACTAGGTCCTTTTTTATATTTTGTGGTAAATTGGCGAATGCCTCTGCAAAGCATTTTGCCAAAGGTATGTCTGCTACTCGTCCCATTGTCAACAGCCGTAGTAACGCTCGTTCCTCCGGTATGCGAGCCGATAAGCTCCTAAACCCAGTCTCCTCAAGGATCCTTGCACGGCAAGTCAGAACGTGGTCGTACGCCTGGTTTAAAGAGAGGATTCCACTGATGGCTCCAACTAGAGCATCGTATACTGCGAGGTAACTTCGGAATACTGGCTCAACCATCGCCCCCGCATTTCGAGAGTCTATATGGCCGGCGGCTCCCGCGATATCCAAAAGAACTTCCATATATTTCAGGAAAAATGCCCTCTCTCTGTCACGCATTGCATATATGCTTTCAAGGCTTGCAGGGACGTTCTCTGCCTGAGCCAACTGTGCAAGGTTAAAGCTTGAGCCAACCTCGAGTCCCAAGATCAGATCTGATCTCAAATCCGGTTGAAGAGTATTGATGGAGGGTATCATCTGAGCATTCGCAGCCGCTAAAAGGACTTCATCATGGTTATCGCACGTCTGACCCGTGATCTCCGCCACCAAGGTCTTAAGGCTGTCGTCTTTCCCAAGGTCGTTGACCACAATCGCAACGAGAAGAGCGTATATCTCGTATGGATGCGGAAGGCCCCCAGATAAAATGGCATACAGTCTCTCAAACGATTCAGGCTGGAGCCGTCTCTCCGGATATTGATGACAGGTGAATGAGTCGTAGTCGTTAGACCATAGCCACTTCAAAGCGAGCATTCCAACGAGCGTCCGGTTGACTTCCACGAAGTCTTCGCCAAACAGGAGCTGTGACGGTGTACGACCGTCGTCACCGAGGTTTCCTAGTGTTTTTGTCCCGGAAGACTCTACCGTGGGCTTTGCACGCTTCAGCCGGTCGAGTTCCCAGTAGAAGGTAGCTCCAAAGAGTTGAACTGCCCGGGTATCACTAAGGGTAGCAAAAGTGCCGTCTTCAATGCTAGCCAGCAGCGCCATATCTTTTCCTGTCTGTGTTCCCTCTGGCTTTTCTCCTTTTCTTGATATTCTAGTACAGCAAATGGAACTGATGGCCCTTCGAAAGACGTTGGTACTGGAATGTGGCATCGTAGCAAGCTATGGATCTATCTTCCTCACAGTTCCCTGTGGAGGAAAAAGCAGAAATTATATCTGGTCCATGGTTAGAGAACAAACAGGCTGCAAGGCGATTCTCACACAGCGCTTCGAGGCCCAGTTTACTCACAAGCCCTTCAGGTTCAGCCTTGAGGCCAGAGATGTTGAACTAGCGAACTACGCCGCCCAGCAATCTGGAGAGTTGGATCTAGTTAACTAAGGAGGCTCAGCCACCCGCAGCAGGCCATTTGTGTACTGAGCCAGCCAGCACGGCTTTCGTGGCTGTTCACGGCATCGCTCTCGCTTGCTATCAAGGAATTATTCAATGCTCTATACATGGCTAGATATTGTGTTGTAGCAAGTCGTCTTTCCCGTCGCTTTGGCCGCCCGCTGGCAGCGCCAGCATGCAGTTCCCCTGTTGGTGACAGCGGCTGAGCATCTCCTTGCTTCCCTTGCATTTACAACGTACGGCTAGAACCATTTTTGATGATGATAGACAGTATATTTACAACTGGATTTATTGCAATATCTTATTACAGACCGTAGGCATTCAAACATACAGACGTCTCGGCGTTATCGATCCCCATAAAGTAAGTATGTTTGTGTGCGTGCGGAAGCTCGTATTCGCTGAGATTAGATTAGATCATGGTTCCGTCAAGGCATTTAAAGGCTTGACAGGGCGCAGATAGAATGGTCACGCCAGTGTGCATCATCCTCACAAGGCAAAGAGACTTCGGGCTGTGAGATTGTATCTGAAATGGCTGCTTCAAATGCCCGACATGCTCTGGTTCTGGGCGCATCAGGCATATCAGGCTGGTCGTTCATCAACCAGCTACTGCAGAGCTATCCACGAGCCGGCACTTGGAGCCGTATTACCGGAGTGACTCGGAAGCCGATGAGCAGAGAGGAAGTCTCCTTCTGGCCTCAGAGCCGTGAAGACCCATCATTTCGCCTTGTATCTGGCTTTGATATCCACAATGACCAGGAGCAGACATTGATGGCAAAGTTTCAGAAGGAAGTGACAGATATACCCACAGTAACACATCTATATTATCTCAGTGCGTGGTGTTTTATCACATCTTTAACGGGATCAACACTTGCAGGGATACCTAATGTGCTGACATCTTTCGTTGACTTGCCAGTACAAGACCCTCCATCTAATTACGATGATGACGAACCATTCGCAGCAAGCCTCAAATCTCTCCAGAAAACGGTGACGGTGATTGAAAGCCTTGCCCCGAATCTCGAGTTTATTCACCTTCAATACGGCACCTTTATATATGGGGTGTGCTTCACCGAGGAATTTTACCACACTGCTCCTCTTTCGGAGTCATTGCCCCCATTGCGAAAGCCACTTCTTGACAGGCTTCACTACCCGGTGTGGACAAAATGAATGCACGAATACTCAAGAGACAAGTCATGGAAGTGGTGTGAAACATGGCCAGATGAAGTTATAGGTATGTTAACCATTTGGCTTCTCGTCTCTAAAGCCCAATTCCCCTCTTGGACATATGTTGCTGAAAACACTATCGCAAAGGATTCGTTCCACGAATGAACTCGTATAATGCAGTCTATCCCATTGCCATGTTCTTATCATTGTATAGATTTATCAACGGGAAAAGTGCAGCATGTCCGTTCCCTGGTAGCCTCGGAACATGGAAAGCCCTCGCGAGTGATGCCGGAGCTGATATGATCGCAAAGGCCTCCATTCACTTGTCTCTACATCCTAGCCCAGGGATCAAAGGAGAAGGGTTCAACGTAGCATCTTCAGAGACACCGTGGAGCTGGGAGATGAAGTGGCCGCCCCTTTGCGAATGGTTTGGGCTCATTGGAGAGCCGCCAGTGGATAATGAGAAGAGCAAAACGTCATCACCAGGACCTGACAGGTATATTCAATCACATGAGACGGAATATAAGCGTATGATACAAGAGTACGGTCTAAAGGCTTGGAATGTTGCTTCCCCATCTATGGATGGGTCAGAGAACTGGGGTTTGACCAAGCTAAATTTCGACCGGCACCTCGACCTCCAGAAGTTAAGATCCACTGGCTTCATGGGAGACGAGAGTCCACGAGATACGTGGATTAATGTTCTGGAGTTGATGAGAGCAGCGAGGTTTATTCCATGATTCGGCAGGAATCAGCATAGAAGCAAAAAGTTCCCACTTCCCGATTATTGCGAGTATGGATAGGACCTTAGAATTTGAGGGGAGACTTGGAGCTATTCACGAGAGAAAATATTGGCAGGACTTAGTAGAACTGTGGAGGGCGCTTCGGTGTACCATGGTCTTTAGGGGTATCTGAGTGCTGATGATTTTCATTGGACTGTATGGCATCGAGTTTCGATCTCCATTCCAACTCCTCTTGTTCGATCTCTCTTAGGACTAAGACCAAAAGTCAGTAAAACCATTGTTTCAGTCCCAACTATTCTATTAGAAAAAAATCACGGTAGTATAACTACCTTCTTCCCATTCATCCTCTGATGCTTTGTTTCCCGTACCAAGGGTCTTCCTCACATCCACATCCTCGCCATTTTTGAGCCTGTCAATGACCTCACTTAGCTGGCGTATCTTCGAGTTCGTACTTCGTAGGAAATTCTCATGAGAGGTTCGAAGTTGAAGCAGATGGATTGCTTGGGAGCCGATTAATATGAACATGAGGATGTAGAAAACCGATGGATGTCGCTCCATGATTCCCGCATCTGCGCCTTGTTTCGGTCCTTTTTGACTTCCGCTCCGTAGAAATTTGGGTATTACCGAATTCCACATCGATGCATCCGCAATCTTTGGTGTCATCCGTCCGGTCGAAATGCATTGGTAGTGCTGAAGTGTGAATCGAGATTGGCATGAGCTTGCTCGCGGGAGGATGGGGAGTCGCTTCGATAGAGCTACTGCCCTCAGTTGAGACTTAGACAGTATGGTAGCCATTCTGACAGTGCAAAAGCACTCTGTAGCACTGAACGAAATCCCGGAGGGCAATGACACAGGGAGCAAGGACAAACAGCTGTTTGATGCTTGATGTTTCGTCTTTTTCTCTTCGAGACTTTCAACTTTCGCGTTCCCTTTTTTTTAGCTTTATGATCACGTGTGTGTTACATAATCAAGGCGTTGCCGGGCAACCAAACCTGCTTGATGTTTAAACCAACAACGAAGCTTCATCATTCCTGGCGGTAAAAAGAGACGTCAAGGATGAGATAGCGATGGGATGCGCGCACAGAACACCAGAGATCCACGGCTTTCTGACATTTACAGGAGAGAATGGGCGGTATATTACTCCCTACGCTGGCCGATTCGGTCAAGCATGATCTCCAGCACGCATCGAAATGCTCGATCAAAACCGTGACCACTTTGCGACAGCTGTTTATAGGTACCGTGAGCGATGAGCTACCAAAGGAAACAAAAACACCGAAACGAGCAACGGCAAGCAAGCCATCTTCAAAATCCACGCGAACTGTTAGAGTCCGAGGCACTTCGAAGAATACCCTTCCCCCGCAACCGACGAACGAGGAAAATCCGCCGGCATTGTCAAAACACGAGAAACTGGTGCTTGCGACGGAAGTGTTTAATATCGCATCAAAACTACTCTCTGAGCATATCAAGAAGCACTCGGTCTCGCGAGTTAGCAAGACAGCGGGGGGAAATGGAAGTCAACGAGTTAGGACTACCAGTCCAACAAAAGTGCCGTTGCAGCCAACCTCGCCTAACCCCAAAGTGCACCAAGCGGAGAACCCGAAGGACACCCCAGAAGAAAGTATAAAACGCAACGGGAACTGCCGAATAAAACTAGTTGCGGAGTGTGCCATGCTGTCATTAGAGACTCTCCGCAATATACGAATCTCCGAAGACACTTTCGACCCTAATAACCTACATCTCGGGCAGGGAATAAATATACTGGTTGGGAAACTATTGATTCTTGAACTCCAGGACTTGGCCATAAAGGGATTGTGCATGCTGAAATCAACTCTTCTGGTTGCCATTGAAGCGGAGCGAACCAAAAGAACCAATGGGCTCGAGAGAAAGTATCCGGATTCGCAGAACGCTTCGCTGGAATCGCTTCTAGAATTTCAAGCCCTCCCCGAAAATGGGCCACTTCTACAACTTATGGTGTCCTTTCAATCCTACGCTCTCAAAGTTTTTTTAATCGAAGGGAGCTGGAACACGAGCCATAAAGTTCTTCAACAACTGCGGTTAGGGAACCCATGTAGCCCTACCAATACCATTCTAGCAGCGAACAAAATAGGAATCATTCCTGACGATAGAGCAGCCCAACAGCTCCAGTCTCATTCCCAAAATGTGCTAACTTTCTCCATTATACTCTCTTCTGCAGAGGAACAGCAAGCTCCAATCACCCGTGCAGAAAATCCAATGGTCCCTTTACTACTTCAGTTCCTAGCATTGGAAATTCGCTGTATTTGGTGGAAACTGTCCGACCATAAATTGGACCTAGCCAAGGAACTTTGGGGTCCGCTTTCTCGATTTATTTCGACTTATGTTCGACGGTGCCCCAATTCACACAAGCATGAGTTTGATGCCATCCAGGCTGCATTCAATCAATTGAAAGCTCGGCTAGGGTCAATTAAGCCCCTAGGAAATGACGCATACAAGTCTTCATCGATGGCTGCAGTTGTAAAAACACTTGGCCAAATAGCTTACAGTGTTGGCCGGCTAGAAACCGCGGCTGGACTTTGCGAGGCTTCCTCCACGTCGCTCAGCGATGTACGGCCATTGCAACGTGCAATATACCAATGTCGAAAGGCTTTATTGAAGGTTGAATCATTGAAGTCACGGTCTACTTCAGAGTCCGAAGCTTTCCAGGCAGTCAATGAAGCTGCAACAGATTTGACTGCATCCATGAAGGGTAATCAAAATGAACTGGACGAGCTACTCATGGAAAGTGCGCTCCTTAAGAAAATAATCATGAAACACATATCTCAAACAGGACCATCTTCCAAGAGACCATCAGATGGCCCAACCACGACCAATGATTCAGCCCTAGCTTATTTGACAAGTTTTCTGAAATTTCTTATACGTTACCTGGCACCGGCAGTTCACGCTTCTCAGCAGGATGATACTAATGCCGTTACGCGGTATCTGCAAAGATCCGGTAACATTGTTCTGGCAGCAATAGATTCGGGGATTGCCGTTGGAAAACTTTCTTCAGGCAGCGGTTCGTTATCCTGGGCTAAAGTTGAGGCTCTTTTGCCCATTTGTGTCTCGCTCAGTCAGCTACTGCAAAAACTTGGTCCTTCCTGTGAACTAGAGAATTGTCCATCTGGCGATGCATCAGTTCGGTTACTGAGAATATCGAATTTATACTGGGCTACATATATGCGCTATAAAGACCTTGGTAAAGGCCCTGTTGAATTGCTACCACCCGTGGAACAGGCTACAAGTATCCTGCAACATTCTGCCCTTACGGAACAGATATCGGGACTGCTTGCAATTAAATTCGAGAGGCAAGCAGCATTGTATTCAGAAATCGGCAATTCTAAAAAATCATCCAAGGCATATACCTCAGCAATTCATGCCCATTTTGAAGCAGGGGTTTTAGCAGCTGCCTGTCAACTGTCATCCAAGGAACATCCACGTCTTATTTGGAAGGATCCTAAAGGACCTGGGTATGCCCTCAGCCGGGTTTTAAGCTGCTATATCAAGGAGCAAATCAAACGCGCTTCAGGGGCAAATCCGGTGATATATGATGTTGAAGATCTCGAACCATGTCAACGAGCAACGCTTCTTGAACAGGAACTGAACATCCTCACGGGACTAAATGGCCCTTCCGCGTCATACATAGTGACGGAGACTCTTCCGCCATTATTGTCAACAATACTCTCGTTGTTGCCCTTGGACACCTATCCGATCCGCCGGACAAGGATTATATATCAAACCCTGCAGTATCTGCTAGAAACTAATGCGAATTCCAGCAAGGAATTTTCCAAATTTATTCTTACTGAAGCAGCTCAGTGTTTGTCCTCTTCCATTCTACCGTCCGAAGATAAAGCGTTGGTTCTATATCGGGACGATCTTCAAGCATCATTAATGATCACTGTTGCATTCTATTCGGGTATGACACCTTTGAATGTTTTTGAGAATGCCATTCAGACCTGGGTGGTTATTGTTCAAGGCTGCGAGTCATGGGAAGCTGTTCAAAACCGGATCGGGGATCCTGTCTCCTTAATCATTCATTTACGCAGTTTGTCAGATTATCTTGAAATCAGAGGGCTGTGGAGATTGAGGATATCCGCCCTTGCTACTGTCAGCCAACTACTTGTTCTGCAAGACAAGCCAGACTTTTCAATGATGGTTTCTTGTTATTCATCCATAGCCCTCCAATACTGCAGACTAGGGTATTTGGACAAAGCCTTCTATATGCTTAACAGAGCTAAGGCGGTTATACAAGAACATACAATATCTCCCCGTGCATCGCTTTCCTGGAATCTGGGCTTTGCAGAGTATTGTTTAGAAAAGGGAGATCACTCAAAGAGGTACAAATAAAGCAGTACCATTTCCATTTATATGGTTAATCGCTAACAGTGGAATAGTATCGAGAGCATATTTCAAGTTCAATCAGTGTTTGATAACATTTCTACGGATCTTTCAAAGGAAACTTTCCAAACGAGGGCTGCATGTGAGCGTTTGGCAACGGATGCTGCGACTATATTATCTCGGTCTTTCTACTCTAAAGGATATCCTAATGAGGCAGCCTACTATGCAAAACGTGCTGTCAAGCTTAGTAGCCGATTATGGGCTCGGCTAGAGAAATACGTGGAAGCAAAGTCAGAGAAGCATTGCAAAGATAAGAACACAGATCCAGACACCCTGGCAGATGGTATAGCCACTCTCCATATTGGTACGAATGACAGCAGCCCATCAAAAAGTCACTTCGAAGGCTCAGTGTACTGGCCATATATGTCTTCTCATGTCGCGGCGTTACTTCAACTATCAAGAATATCAGATCACAATGGAATCTTCCAGGATGCAATCTACCACGGAGAACAAGCAATAGCTGTTTGCGATGCGGTGGGTTCTCAAGCACTATCCTCCCTCATTAGAGCGGAGCTAGGCGACCGTTTTATTCGAGCAGACCGTACGCACAAAGGAGCCGAGCTCCTTGAAAAGGTACAAGCTCTACCGCATGAAGAATGCGATTTTCCCCTGTCCATTTCAGTCAATATGCATACGGCAGCTCTCCATGTTCAGCGAAAGGAAGTTGAATGCGCTTATCGTGTTGTTTCCGATTGCATTAATGCTCTCTCGAGCTTTAGCAACGTCAGCACCGTGGATTCTCTAGACCCTTTCATAGACCCTATCAAGGAAATTGTCAAACAAACGGGGGATATGAATATCTCTTCCCCGAAAAAATCAAGTTCTCGCTCTGCTTCCCGCACTACGCGCTCTCGCAGTGCTAGAAAACCACCCCAGGCCAAATCGGTCGCTCGGTCGAACATCCCTATTAATGGAGAATCAGAAAGTGCACAAAATCAAACGCTTGTTACACGACTTCACAGCAGTCTCATCCGAAAGCAAGCCATGCTTTTGCTTGCATCGCAACAATTTGACCAAGTCGTCGGTTTACTTGATCAAGCGGATAAGATCCTTGAGGCAGAAACAGCAATATCCAGTCATAAACTTTGTCGGGTGCATTATATGTTAGGGCTAGCGGTGCAGCAGCTCGCTTCTCATTCTGTTTATTGTGTTCTCCCAGAGTCAACTATTTCACTTCCATCCTTACATTTGGGAGGCCACGGTTCGAAAGGGAGCTCGCGATCAAAATCACGGCCTGGAAAAACGGCGAAATCTCCTATAAATTCTGAAGTTAACTTTTCAGAAACGCTATCCACCGCAAGCAAAGTCCTTGCAGATATCTCTTTGCCAATATCTCAACATGGGTCTAGTAAGGAGGGTCACGAAGCATCATATCTTCGAAGCCGAACGTCTATGCTAGCTTTTGCAACATCAACGAGAAGCTCTGACATGGATCCATGTCTCATTGCTCATTCCATCGGTAAGTTGCCCTACACGTAACACTAAGCTCCTTCTATACTAACGCGATTGTAGAGCTGGGTCGCAATTCCGCATTTGCACGCGACCATTTGTCAATTGTGTCGGATAAGGAACTATCGAATCAAATGGGTCGTTTGGATTGGCCCGCCCTCCCATCAGCCAATTTGGACGTAGCGCATCCGGAGGAGGGTTGTTTCATGGAAAACTACGTCGAGATCCTCCCTCCAGAATGGGACGTCATATCAATAACCCTCTGTCCGAGTCAAGACGAGTTTATCATATCAAAACTGCGCCAAGGCCAATGTCCGTTAATATTGCGTCTACCACTCAAAAGAGGCGGTGATGATGACATGGACGAGGATACATTTAGCTTCCAGGAGGGCAAAGCGGAACTTTTAGAAATTATTCGTCTTGCCAATGCCAGTGCTCATAACACCGGCACATCTCTTGGGAAGAAGGAAAAGAAAGCATGGTGGGAAACCCGGGAAAATCTTGACAAACAGCTTCAAGATCTCCTACAAAATATTGAGACAGTATGGTTTGGGGGATTCCGTGGCATATTTTCTCAGGCCCCTAGGAATGGCCTGCTGTTAGGGAAATTTACAGCTTCCTTCAACAAAATCCTTGACAAGCATCTTCCGTCAAGAAAGGAGAAACGAGGAAAGGCCAAGGCTACATATCCAGATTTTGATCCTTGGGTGATGGAACTTTTTGTCAACATCGGCAGACTAGACGACGAGATGAATCCAGAAGATGCTGTTATGGATCTGTTATATTACGTCGTTGATATCCTACAGTTTCACGGCGAGACAAATGCATACGAAGAAATAGATTTCGACATGATGGTAGTGGAAACATTAGATTCGCTACATCGTTATGCGGACGGGTGCAAGTGGGAGCAAGCGCCAACACCAACTCGACACACAATATTGGTTCTGGATAAGTCACTCCATGCGTTTCCCTGGGAGTCTATGGAGTGCCTGAGAAATTGTTCAGTCTCACGCATGCCCTCACTTGACAGCGTGAGGGACCAGATATTACGGCTGACAACTCAGGAGAGACATGAAGGTGGCCAATTCGGATTCTATGCTAATCGAGATAGCGGTACTTATTTACTGAATCCAGCTGGTGATCTCAAATCCACAGAGGATCTTTTTAAGGAGCCACTTTCCGTGTTGAAAGGCTGGTCCGGCCGAGTAAAGACGGCGCCAACGGAAGAAGAATTTGAGTCATCGTTGCGGACTAAGGACATCCTGTTATACTTTGGACATGGCAGTGGAGCTCAGTATATCCGAGGCCGAACTATTCGAAGGCTGGATAAGTGCGCTGTGACCTTCCTTATGGGGTGCAGCAGTGGTGCGATGACAGAGGCTGGTGAATTTGAGCCATATGGGACCCCGTGGAACTATATGCATGCTGGAACACCGGCTCTAGTAGCAACTCTCTGGGATGTCACTGATAAGGATATTGACAGGTTCACTACTTCTGTGCTTGAGCGATGGGGTCTTTTTCCAGCCCCAGCTACAACTGCGAAAACCCCCATTGCATCAGCTTCGGGTATCAAACACACAGGCCAAGTCGGCCTAGACACGGCCGTAGCTGGCTCCCGGGATACTTGTATTCTCAAATACTTGAATGGAGCAGCACCGGTTTTATATGGAGTTCCTGTCTTTTTGAAGTGACGGATTTCTGTTGCCTGTATTTTTTTTTTTTTTTCCTTTCTTAAGAGTCTTTTTTTTCCAGCTACTTTTATGATATTAGAATATACCCTTGGTTTTGGCATACTCTATATATGCTGCAGGAGCTTTGGATTGGAGAAATTGGAAGGCTAGCTGCTTGTGTACATATATATATAGAAGCGCTATGGTGTAGTTTATTCTATATCAACTTGGCCTCCCTTTTATATTTGGTTTTAAAGATGGCAATATTTTTGGTGGTGCGGGGAGGATCGGATAAGCCCCGCGCCGGCATCCAAGGTTACCACCTGCAGCCAAGCTTATTTCAACCTTTGAACTACAAACATCAGACAGCACTTTCAACCCCAAGCAAAGACGAGTGGCAGAATTTGATAATTGATAGTTTGATAATTGATAGAGTTGATCACTCGACAGCATGGCCGTCACAACCAAAGCTACCATCTCCTCCTTTGGAGGGAAGCTACTGAAGCTCTCCCATAATGCCACATCTACGAAGTGTGAGATGGCGTTTAACCTATACCTCCCGCCACAGTCAGTTTCAGACTCTGGGTACAAGGCTCCCGTTCTATTCTTCCTATCAGGCTTGACTTGCACTCCGGACAACTGCTCTGAAAAAGGATTTCTTCAACACGCAGCCAGTTCAAAAGGGATTGCTATTGTATATCCAGATACCAGTCCACGTACGAATTTGACTATCCCGAATACGTAATTAGTAGTTAGCTAACCCTGACTATAATAGGTGGTTTGGGTATTGCGGGTGAAGATGATGCATACGACTTTGGGACCGGAGCTGGATTCTACGTGGATGCTACCAAAGCCCCGTATGATCAGGGATATAACATGTATACCTATGTTACGGAGGAACTTCCCAAAGTTCTCTTCACCGAGTTTCCGCAGTTGGACTCCAATCGAGTCAGCATTACCGGCCACAGTATGGGTGGGCATGGTGCCTTGACCCTTGTAAGGATTCTATACCCCAACTCTTTCCTGACATACCCCTTAACTAAGGGCCCATCTGACCTGATTATTAGTTCTTGAAAAATCCTGGGAAGTATAAATCAGTTTCAGCTTTTGCGCCAATTGCAAACCCCGTCAACTGTCCTTGGGGCCAAAAAGCCTTTGAGGGCTACTTTGGCAGTGACAAGGACAAGTGGAATGAGCACGATGCCACGGAGCTAGTCAAAAAGTGGAAGGGCCCTCTCACAATGTTGATTGACGTGGTATGTAGTCCATCTGTTACCATTAGTCTCGCCTTATGTCGCATTTTGGACGAGTACAACACAACACATAATAATCTAGGAACACAGCACTAATCTCTTACGACTTTAAGGGTACTGGTGACAATTTCTATAAACAAAAGCAGCTATTGCCGGAGAACTTTCTTGCAGCTGCAAAGGAAGCTGGTGTGGAGTCTGAGATATATTTGCGCTTCCAGCCTGATTATGATCATAGTTACTTCACCATAGCTACATTTGCCGATGACCATGTGAATTTCGCCGCTCAATATCTATTTGCTTGAAACATAGTCTGCACTTATTATACAGTCATTAGAGCTGTGTATTATCGGGCGGCATGGTCGGGCCATTTATTATGGGCTTTCTTATTACATGGTTTGTGGAAATAATTCCATACTACACTACCTGGTATTCAGTATACCGGAGCGATAACTAAGATTTAGTTTTGAGCTTTCTTTAAATTGACCTGATAGTTATGCTACCCTCATATATTGTTCATTTGCATAGCCAACATCTCCTTGTTTTCTCGCTCCCGCAGCCTTTCAGTCGTATCTTGAATAAAACGAAGAAAGTCTAGCGGGAGGATAATCTCAAAATAAGTCGAGTCAATAACAGGAGAGGACTGACAATCAGCGAAACATGAAACCATGACTTGAAGTGAATTCAAACAAAGCATATATGCCTCGGAAATTGCTTGTCCGATAAAACAATGTCATGGGGGTTTTCGAAACCAAGCAGAGGGATAATTGGTGAAAGTTTATGGTGGCGGGAATATGACAGGATATATGGAGGTTAGCAAGGTGAATGTAGTTGAAATAACGTAGATTGATCCAGGACACTTCATATGCTAATGTTCTCAGCGAAGAGTAAATGTAACTTTTTCTTATTTTTGATGGTAGGGATGGCTTTCATCAACAATTGTTCGATCAGATGTGATAGATGAGGGGATAAATGGAACAGATGGAGGACATTGCTAGTATCATGCGCTTAACCGTTGTATAAATGCCTATTGCTTTCTGATTAGCCTCAATTACGGGAGATTTGGGGAGGAAGGATATCTTACCTGGAAAAACTGTCGAAAAGCCTTTACATCTAGCTGTTCTAAAGATGATACATATTCGTTGATAAGGTCTTCACCCATCCCCATTCCTGGTAACTCGGAAGTTCGGAGCCATTGGAGATACTCAGGTCCAGTTTTTGAGTAGATTACCTTTTGCATCGCTGCTGCTTCGCCCAGAACTTGCTTTGCCTGAGCATCTTTGGAATTAAATGATGAATTCATAGGTAGTGCCCAGCAGAGGGGAGAGAAGCGGGTTATCATGAACTGAGCGAACCCAGGTAAGGCGGTCTCTTGTTGGGAGGTGTTAGTGCCATTTGCTGGAGCCACAATATCAGGGCCTCCCCAAAGGCTCGACATCCGAGCCAGTACAAGGAACGCCATTTTGGCTGTTGGGAAATCATCCGCATCCTTGGCGAAGTGCTCAATAGTTGATATGACGGTCTCAAAGATAGATTGGTTTGCTATGCGAATGTTAGTTGAAAACACACGGGGGGGGGGGGGGGGGGGGGACTCTAGAGGGAGAATATGGAGGCTTACAGCTGCTGATGATAACAGAGCCAAGGTCATTGTTCAGTATCATAAGCAAAAAATTGAGGTACTCGCGTTTCAACTCAGCTAGCTGAATCTCATCGTCCGTACCCGATATCGGCTCAGCAATACCGGAAAACACTCGCTGAAGGAAAGGTGTCCACAGAGTATCGAGAATGGAGTATATTTCGGACTTGAAGCCGAAGATAACTTGATCCAAGAGCCGAAGGAATAGTGCCATCTCATCCTTTGAGGAGGTAGGGGTAAGTAGGCCATCGATCCATCTAGGTAATTGTGGTAGGTTTCTCGACCCTCTAACACCGATTAACCTGGAGAATGCAAATCTAGCCGCAGTCCTAATGGTGAACGAATTTTTCAAAGACTCAAGAGCAACTAAAGTTGCCTCCGATACTTGTCCAAATGTTTCCGATACCTCTGGAGGAGGTGGTGTTTGGGGAGAAGTTGACCCTGGCACCCAGTCAGAATAGCCCTTGGCAAGGGTACCAAGAGCCATGATATCATGGTGAATTTGCAGAATGGCACGCTCATCGTTCGCTTGAGCAGCTGGTAAGTTCTTTTCCATGTCCATAAAGATGGGGTTCATAATCGACTGTGCAAAGTACACCTGCTTTTCAACTGATGAAGCAGTGGAACAGATGGTTCCAATGGCCTCGAAAAGGTATAGCTGACTAGTAAAAACTGTGTCTCGAGATCCGCCGATATCCTCAGAAGATAGGTCGTCACCATCTGAGTTATCACCAGGTACCTCAGCGTTAATCGTGAGGAGGTCACTAAGAGCTTCGACAACCGTTTGCGCGACATTTCCCACAAAAGCGCGAAGGTGCTTTACAAGGCGGTGGAATAGATACCACGACCTGGTCCTAACCTTGAGCATCTGATGATGGGCAAGACGGGGGAATCCTTCTAAAACACCTAGAAGAAGGTGGGAATGATGCTCGAAAAATGCGCTATACCGCACGCATATTTCCATGTATTGCAGCTGTGTGGCCGGGTGGTTGAACGAGCGGACATCTAAGTAAGGGATAACTTATTGTCAGTAACAATCCGGAAAAGTTTGAGCCATGAATATGCGACAAACACTTACCGGACTCGACCATGACCAACATCATTTCTATGAGGCGCTCTGCGGCAGGATTATTGGGCTTATGCTTATTATACAATCCTCCAGCTTTCATTGCCAGGTCTCCAAAAAGGAACATCTCGTGCAGAGCTAGATCAAGATCGCGCCAGTCCAGCTGTGCTCCCGGCTGTCTTAAACTAGAGAACGTGGAACGAACAACATCAGTGATAGCTTCTATAAAGAGCTGCTCGTTGGTTGATGCAATTATCTGCTGCAGAACGTTGAGTCTCCGTCGTAGTTCCTGGAATTCTGCTTCATCTGTCTGATCATCCTCGCTTCCCCAGCTCGAGGTCTCGTCGTATCTCATTTTTTGAATGATGGCCTTGAGAATTGGCAGCAACATGTGGTTCTGCTGAGATGCCATTTCAGGGTTCTTCTTTGCAACCTTTCGGAAGTAAGTAAGCATATCATTTACACAAGGGACAATTGTCGAGCATATCTCGTCGTATTCGTCGGAGAAGTAACGCAACACATGGGGCAGGAAGGCCTGTAGCAAGGCTTCGGCTTTTTCCTTAGTGGCGGCATCAACACCTTCGGATTCAAGTGCCTTGACGATGTCCAATGCTGTGATGTTTACAAGCTTGGCAACGGTCTCAGCTAGATCGGTGTCATATTTTGAGGTGAATCGGTATTCGTGCAGAGGCGGGCTGGTAGAAAGCTGAGAGACGATGCTCTCAAGGTTCAAAAAGACGATCATGTCCACCTTATCAGAGGGTTTCATCTTCTTTCCCACGATCTCCGTAAAGACGTCAATGGCTGCATCCCGGACCCTTTCCCCTCCATTATTCAGGCTTACATCCTTGGCCTTTGCGAGCTGGTGGAATAGGAGGTCGAGCATGCCCTGGTTGACGACGAGGGAAATATTGATCCAACTGACCCAGCTGCCGATTGCCTTGAGCACCATGGCCGTAATGACATTGTCTTGGTCCTGCCACTGCGTAAGGATCTCCTGCCACGAGTTGACCAGTTTCTGCACATCTCTCTCTCGAATGAGATCCTTCAGCGTGTTTGCTCTGTCCTGCTCGGCCCGTGAACGCGAGAGCAGGACGTCACCGATCTCGTCGTGTATGGAATTGATAACACGGAGAAAGAAGATGGTGCCCAAGACATTGTCCCGGACTTGGTTCTCAGGCGATTTATAGGTCAGGCGCAGGATATCATCGAAGAAGGTGTCCCATCCGTTGGCATAGAGGGCAGAGAAGAGATAGGTAATCGTCTGGGCAATCTTGTTCTGTATATTGGCCTGGTCTGGCTCGCTCGTGGCCCCGGCCCCATACATCTCCTGCAAGTAGGACATGAGGCTATCCTTGATGAACCCGAGCCCTTGCAAATCCACCTGGCCAGACTGCGTGGCGCTGTTGACAATCTCCAGGGCCACATGCCGTACTATCTCCGAGTGACGGGGGAACTTTGTGAAGATCGAGAGACACGGCTGCCATCCTGACGGGTCTGAGCGAAGCTGGCTGATGTAGTCGAAGGCCTGCGCCTTGAGCGCCTGGTCCGAAGCTGGGTTGCCGGCGATTTCTATGGCATTCGCGACCTAGATAGAGTGACGCTGCCGTTAGTACCTTGCGCAGTAAACCAGAGAGACACCGCTGCTGCTGCTGCCACCGCCGCCGCCCGCCGCCCGCCAGCAGTGGACGAGCAGCAAAGGACAGGCAGACTGAGGGCGGACGGCCTTACCTGCTCCTCCATGATGACTGCTCCCAGCGAGGCCCGCGGCTCTCTCTCTCTCTCTCTATCTCTCTCTCGCTGTGTGTGTCTGTCTGTCTGTCTCTCTCGTGCNTTTTCCGCTGACGGTCAAGTGTCCCTCTGTCCGGCTCGCTTCCCACGTAACTAGCAGGCAGTTTTAACCCAGTCACCCAACTGTGCAGAGCTGTGAAGGTCGCGAGAGGGTCCGGCTGTTCATCTCATAGACACCTGTCTGCAATACGCTTATCCAGCTCCGTCTCGTCAGGCTGCTCTTTTGCAGGGGAGTTCGGGCGGGCGTAAAAATAAAAAAATAAAATAAAATAGTAGTAATAATAATATCCGGTCGTGGGTGAGTTTTTTGGGTGAGTTTTTTGGTGCCGCTGCGGGACCCAAGAAAGAATCTCAGGCTCACCAACCGACTAGCTAGCAACTTAACTATGACACAACACACACTTCGCACACTTCGCACACAAAACAGCCAGAGGGAGAACGCCGTCTTGGGTGGGGACGGGGCGAAAAAGAAAACACCGGCGGGAGGGCTAAGATGAAGCTGCTGGTCGGGAGGATTCACAGTGTAGAGAGAGAAAAGGCGGGTGTTGGGCGGGTTATTAGTTAGTTATCTTGCTACGGCCATATATACAGACATGCTCTACAAGGAAGACCCGGTTGATATTGGCCGTTTAAACAGCGAATACACGGATGATGAGAACTGACTACCTACTGGGTAGATGGCCAGATAGACAGTAACTACGTTTCCGCCTTGAGGATCTGCTTCTCCATCATCTCGAAGCCCCTGACGGCCTGGCCGTACTTCTCAAAGACGCCCGGCTGGTAGCCATCAGCTATGCGCTCGACAAACTCGTCTTCCCTCCATCTCTGCCCGATCAGGTCCTCAAAGGTCTGCTGCGGTGCTCGTTCCAGCGCCCAGACGGCCTTGTATGCTGCTCCCAGTGCGCACGCATTCTCGCCCACGTCCAGCTTATACACCCCTTCGATGCCGCCGAGCACTTCCCCGGCGACTTTGGCGATGGCGGCATTGCGAGAGCCGCCGCCAACAAGGTAGATTCGTCGTGGCTGTGGCGGGATGTCCTTCTTGTCCGATGGGCTGTGGACGAGCTCCCTGGACCGCAGCCTGAGGGAGAGGAACTGGCTCTCGACGATGGCCCTGGCACCGTCAAACGGATGGCTCCAGCCTGTGTCTGTCTCCCTGAGCTGCTGGTCTACGTCTGTGTGGCCAGGGGTATAGTTGAAGTGCCATTTTCCTTCTCGAAGATTGGGCACAATCTCCGGCCGTGGGAAGAAGAGGCCCATCTTCATCGGGTCGGAGTCTGACTTCTGGCCGGCTGGAGGAGTATCCAGCAGGATTCTGTCAAAGTTGCTCCAGGGGTTCGAGCCATCTTTGTCTTTGTCCCTGGTCTCGTCTAATTTTGCGTTGATAGCGTCTCGCACCCGCTCACGAGCAAGGCCTCCGTTCTTGTAGCAGAGCATAAACATGTACAATCCAGGAGTAGTCGGATGGTTGAAGAAGTGCGTTGACGGATCTGGTTTGTACTGCGGAGTCGACATGAGAAAAGTAGTCGATGTCCCCAGGGATACCATGGCGTCCAGCGGTCTCAGCGGCAGGGCAAGTATAGTGGCCGGGTTGTCTCCCGTCGACGGAGTAATGACACAGTCTGGATGGAAGCCGTGTCTCTTGACAAAGTAGCCGCTGATTTTACCCAGCTCCTGGCCTCCATCGTGAGGGACGTCTCCGAGCTTCCTCTTCAGCTGCTCCGGCCCAGCATCACCGGCACAGAACTTGAGCAGGCTCTTGTTCCATCGGTTTGACGGTATATCCCATAGATTCATGCCACAGACGTCTGAGATATCGAACGGAGCCACTCTCCCCAGGAAGACCGAGGCCAAAAAGGACGAAACCAGGGATATCCTGGCCGTCTTCCGGTATGCATCAGGATGCTTCCTCTGAAACCTCAATATCTGAGGACCAGTAAATCTCTACCCACACATTAGCAACCTGATAGACCACACACACAAACAAACACACGAATCATGTAGTTATCTATCTAAGGATGAAAGGAAGACCTACATGGTGAGCCTTGCTCCCCGTCACCTTCGCCAGTTCTTCTTCGCTCCCCAGGAAGGCATCAAACTCGTCACACTCCCGCTGCGTGCTGGCGTCCTGCCAGTTGGGACTGTACGGATGAGACAGAGCAGCCTGCAACTGATCCTCCAGCGTCTTCCCTGCGTCCAGGCTGCCCAGTATCTGCTCGGCGGACTCGTTCCAGTAGACGCTGCCATGCTGCTGCCCGGCGCCGCTGATGCCCTTCACCCTGCCAAAGTCGAGCCCTTGCTGCTGGAGTGTAGCACGGCGTCCAGCGCCTGCAGCCACATGGCGACGGGCGCAAAGACTTCCTTCTCGGCTTCATTTGTCTGGACGCCCTTGGTGACGGAGAAGCCTCGCGAGTCGCTGTCGAAGTCGAATTTGGCGACGAAGACGACCTTGAGATCGGACGAGACGACGAGGCCCTTGAGCTGCTGCGTCGACAGGTCGAAGCCGATGTACAGCGGTCCGTCGTGGGATCCCATTGTCGTTTAATTATTTCTATAGCAATTGGACATTGGACTGTTTTGGATACAGTTGCAGTCGTCGTTGAATAGTTATATAAACAGCGAGTGGTAGATGTATATGTTGGCCGTGGGGGCGGGATGATATCATAGCGACAGGGAGCAGGGGCGGGAAGCTCGTAAGGCTATTAGTTATTGAATCATAGTCCGGATGCCAAAATAATCAATATATATTTCATCATTATACTATTCAAGACGTACTCGTCTATTCTTTCTACAAGACAATCAAGCATGAAACAGGTCCTGTCCTTGCTGGGGGGGCTGCTGCGTGTCACTGCCGGGCAGCTGTAGATAGACGGTTGCTTCGGCTGAGCTATGAAGTAGGTAAGATAGTTGTTGGTAGATGTACATAATATATACATCGACCCATACCAGCGACCATAAGACGGAGCGAGGAGACGCTGCCGCCGTGTAATGCCGCTACTGCTGGTGATGGGCTGTCTGAGGAAATGGAGGCAACCCCCCCTGGCTATCACTTCCGGCGAGGTCAAGCCTGTGGACGCTGGTGTGCATTTTTGATGGTGAAGGGATATGTCAGATCCCCCAAGTCTAATGTCGTCTGCGAGTGCCATTAACTTGTGGCTCTGACTGTGAGCCCGATGAAATAGAGCCGTTTCCATTGGTCTCGGGCTCGGGCTCGGGGCTGCTACGAGGACTGAGGTCCGGGGCAATGAACTCCTCCGCAAAGTCCAGCTCCTTCTCTGTATCGAGAGTGAAGCGAACCCGTAGCCGCTTAACACCTCTCACGCGAGCTCCTACCCGTTCCCGGATTGCCCGCTCGACCTCGCGGGTCCGAGCAACCGACCACGAGCCGGGGACCGCAAGGTCGACTTCCATCAGGTAGTTGGGGCCCGACTTGACGCCCTGGATGTTGCGCAGCTCGACCTCGGCGCCGTGTGGAAGGGCAGCGATGGCTCGGGCAGCGTACTTGCGTACGGAGTCGACCATGCTCTCCTCGACGCCTGCGTCTGCGAGTTCTAAGAGAGTAGCCTTGGTGTTTCCGAGCCCTGCCTTGATGATCATGATGGAGATGAGGAGACCGCCCACCGGGTCCAGCCAGGTAGCGTCAGAGAAGACATGGGCGCCGCCGATGGTCAACAGGGCGACGATGCTTGTGAGAGAGTCGACACGGTGATGGACGGCGTTGGATGCAAGGACGGAGGACTTTCTCTCCTTTGCAATTTTCATAGCTGTCAATCCTCTATTAGCAGTTTGTAACTATATTATGTATATCAATGGTCGTCTGCTTACTGGCGTGATAGAGCCACTCCTTGACGACAATTGAGCCCGCAGCAAGCCAGGCAGCGTTGATATTGGGCCCGTAGGCCTGGTCGGAAGGGAAATGCGAGTGCGAGTGGCCGTGGGAGTGGCCGTGGCCGAGCAAGCCCATATGAGCCGCCGCCTCTGCCACGTCCGGGAAGAACTGGGTGAGGATGACTTCGGCGGCATTGAGGCCCATCAGCAGGCCGCCGACGAGCAGCAGGCCACTGACGCCCAGGGAGCCCAGGGTCTCGATCTTGCCGTAGCCCAGCGGGAAGCGAGCTGAGGGCGGCTTGTTCGACCAGGAGACGGTCCCCAGCGTCATAAAGTCCGACACCAGGTCCGCGAGGGCATGGTAGGCGTCTGCTATCAGGGCCTGCGAGTGGAAGACGTAGCCTCCGACGCCCTTGCCGACAGCCATGGCTAGGTTGGCGAGCAGGCCGATTCTGGTGATGCGGACGCCGGGATCCTGCTTGTTCTTCGAGGTCAGATATGTGGTATCGTGGTGGTGATGATGGTGATGACCGTGGCCATGCCCGTGGCTATGCCCGTGAGATCTGGTCTGGCCGCCCATCGTGAAGGGCGAATGTGAATGTGAATGTGAATGCACGAGAGCAAGGACTGGTCGAGCTGGTCGAGCTGTGATGATGATGGACAGGGCAGGGCTCGCGGGGGGGTAGGCCGGCGGTCGAGGCGGGTTTTTTGCAGCAACGACAGAGGAAGACGACGACGGCGAGGACAGTGAAGATAGTGAAGACAGCGAGGACAGCGAGGAATGGCAGCGGACGAGACGGAGAGGCAGCCTGAAGCCACGTAGCTGGATGTCGCTGTCGCGCGGTGGTTGCGGCGGCCGTGGGCGTACGAGGGCGCAGAGCAGGCGAGCTGAGCGAAATCTGGTCTTCCCGCAGCCGGCTGGCGTCCGGATCATGGCCTGGCGGGAGCGAGCAAAAGCAAAGCCTCTGATAGTTGTATTTCTTGCCTGTTGATATGTATTATCAATATTATTAGGGCTTGATCTGCAGCTGGCGGGCGTCTCTCTCTCTCTCTATCTGCTGCTGCTGAAGCTACGGGCAGCCCAGGCGGTGGAATAAGCAACTTTTAGTTATCGGAAGATTTTACTGCCTGGCTATTAGTTAACCTAGGCAGCGCAGCTCCGGGATCAGACGAGGATGTGAATACGAGACAGGCAGACATATAAGTAGGTATAACCATTAGATATATATAAGTAGAGATATATAAGTAAGTAGAGCATGGAATCGGGGCAGCGATGGACGAGAGCAAGCTGGAGAGACTGCGGCCAGTTGGTAGGATCCCGACACTCGAAGACAAGAATACAATAACTAGTAGTTAACTATCAAGAGACGAATAACTAGCTAATAATAATTTATTACTATAGGCTGCCTGGAGAAATACTCGACTGCTCGCAATCCGCCCCGGTTCTACACCAACGTCGCGGTGACGGCGAGCTATGTGCTGCCGTCGAGCTGCGCGCTGCCGGTCAGAGACTGCGTCTACGGCGCCCTCGAGACGCTGATAGAAGAGCATCCGGCGCTCTCAGCCATCCCGCTGGGCGAGGACTCGCTCGATCCCTACTTTGTGCGGCTGCCCGAGGTCGACCTGGACCGCTGCGTCTCGTTCAGAGAGCGGGAGCGGGAGAAGAAAGTGGCTGCTGGGGACGGCGAGAGAGATACAGAGCTGGACGAGCTGCTGAACGAGCAGCACAATATACCCTTTGCAGCTCCCTGGCCGTACTGGAGACTGTGCATCCTGACCGATCCGCAGGAGGGACGGCGGTTCACTGCTGCCTACGTCTGGCATCATGCCATCGGGGACGGGACGTCTGGAAAGGCCTTCCACGGGACACTCCTGGCAGCTCTGGGGGCTATCTGCGCCAGATCCAGCTACAGCGCCCTTCCTGCTGGCTCGACGGCTGTGAAGAGCGTGGTGGTGTCTCCCAGGACGCCGCTGCTGCCGTCTCTCGAGGAAAGCTGCCCGATGCCGCTGTCCTTCTTCTACATCCTCTGGTCCCTTTTCCGTGCCAAAGTGTGGAAGCCAGCGCGAGATCCGGGCCTCTGGACGGGATCCAAGACGTTCACTCCCCTGCACAACACCGTCCGCCATCTCGTCGTGTGCGAGCGGGAGACGACGGCTTTTCGAGATGCCTGCCGGGAGAACAGGACGACCGTCACGGCTGGGCTGCAGGTGTTGCTTGCCCGGGCCCTGTTCAAGCACATCCCGGAGCAGTACACCCGGCTGGCCAGCGAGGGGGCCATCTCTGCCCGGCGCTGGCTGACCGACGGCCGCATCACAGAGGACTCGATCGGCGTCTGGGTTGGCGTCTACTACGAAGACTACAGCAGGGCCAGCCTGTACAACGACGGCGACGCATTCGCATTCCCCTGGGACGAGGCTAGACGGGCAAAGCAGACGATCGACACAGCGCTCAGCCGCCGGGGCAGCAACAGTCCCGTCGGCCTGCTCAAGTACGTCAGGGACTATGTCAGGGAGATCTTCCTGCCCAAGCTCGGCCAGGAGCGAGAGCTGAGCTTCGAAGTGTCCAACATCGGCGTCTTCACAGAGACAGCAGACCCAGGAGATCCAGCAGAGGCAGACGAAGAACCCCGGATCGAGAGGATGGTCTTTACGCAGAGCGCCAATGTCTTTGGATGCGCCATCTCGACCTCTGTCGTCACCGGCGCCGACGGCTGTCTCGTCCTGGGCTTCTCCTGGCAACGGGGGGTCGTCGAGGACAGCCTGATGGACGGCTTTGTAGCCTCAGTCAAGCAGGCCTTTGGCTCTTTCAAACAATAGATAGATCAACATAGAATCATAGACGTAGTTGTATATATACTATATTTTATATCAGGGGATATCCATCCTACTTATACGGGGACTCTATATATTTGACGAACTACTTATATACGAACCTCAACATCATTCAATCACCAACTATCAACGTCACTAACAACACGCAACGACGCAACAACCGATGAGCCACCGGATGAGAATCCCCTTCACGGCTCCGTTTGCAGCTCCGACGATCCTGCCAGCCTCTGCCGCGACCGTCGCCGGTGCCATTGACGCCCTCGCGGGCTTCCTCGCCGCGCCCTCGCCGCCGCTGCTCAGAGGCATCGACCTCGGCCGCAACGAGCAGACCGTCCTCCTGACCGGCGCAGGCATCTCGGTCGCCTCGGGCCTCTCAGACTACCGCGGCGAGAAGGGCACATACCGTCGCAAGGCCGGCTACCGTCCCATCTTCTTCCACGAGTACACGACCCAGCATGCGGCCAGGCAGCGCTACTGGGCCCGCAGCTTCATCGGATGGCCGACGATGGGCCGCTCGAAGCCCAACATCACCCACGACTCCATCGGCCAGCTGGGCGACAAGGGCTACATCAGCGCCGTCATAACGCAGAATGTCGACTCGCTGCACCGCCGGGCGCATCCCAGGCTGCCCGTCGTCGAGCTGCACGGCGACCTGCGCTCCGTCGTCTGCGTCACTTGCGCCCACAGGATACCCCGCGAGCAGTTCCAGGAGACGCTGGCCGCGCTCAACCCGGCCTGGGCTGACTTCTTCCACCAGCTGGCTCGCTCGGGGGCGCTGGAGACGGACGACGTCGAGCAGCAGCGGCAGCGTGGCCTGAAGCTGAACCCGGACGGCGACGTCGACCTGCCCAACGCACACTACTCGGACTTTCGATACCCAGCCTGTCCCCGGTGTCTGGAGAGACGGCCGGACCGTGGGTCGACCGCCGCCGTTATTGTCGAGGCAGACGGCGATGGGGCGCTGGCGCCAGGGTCCAACGCTGGCATCCTCAAGCCGGCCGTCGTCATGTTCGGCCAGTCCGTCGACGACGAGGTCAAGCTGGCCGCCGAAGAGGCCGTCGACGAGGCCGGCAAGCTGCTCGTCCTGGGCAGCAGCCTGGCGACCTTCTCTGCCTGGCGCCTGGTCGAGCGCGCCGTCAACAGAGGCATGGCCGTCGGCGTCCTGAACGTGGGCGGCTTCCGCAACGAAGCCCTCCTGTTTGGCAGCGTCCAGCCTCGCGCCGGCGACCTGTCCCGGGTGCGATGCAGCCATCCGGCAGAGGACATCCTCCCTCACGTCGCTGCCAGGCTCGCAGCGCTGTAACTAGTTTCTCTCTTCTTTGCTTCTAGTTAACCAAGTTACTCCCTACTTGTCCCCCTGTATAGACATAGACATAGCTGCCATTGATAAATATAGACATCCCCAACCTGCTACTATGTAAAGCTGGCAGCCTAAAATAGCATCCTAAGCGCCCGAGTAGATCCTCTCCTGCATCTGAACAGGCCACTGACTCGCTCGCGGACTGGCGGGCGCTTCGAGGTGGCTAAAAATACCATCCTGCCCCCCTTGTCGCGGCGTTTCAAAACTTCCCGCAAGTCACTAAGTTAACTAAATAGTTGAATATTTAAACCTCAAGATTTCCATCCAGCTCTGGGCATGGCCGCGGACGACACCTCGAAGCCGACCAATTCCCAGCGTCACGACCGCTCTGCAAGCGACAGCAGCATCCTGTACCTCAGCATCGCCTCGTCTCTCGTCTCTCCTGCGACTTTCTTCCGCCGCCGCCCGTTTCTCGATCTCCGCCAGGCAGCCTCTTCCGCCCGCCCCTCAGCAGCCCGCGCCGCCATGGACAAGCGGCACCAGCCCAGCTCGTTCCAGCAGCTCGAGAAGGTGAGTAGCCGCCGGCAGCAGCTTGACGGATAAATAAAAGTAATAATCGCTAACTGGCCGTCTAGCTAGGAGAGGGAACCTATGCTACAGTATGTTGGCCTTGGGCCCTATGGTTGGGCCTTGCTACCAATGATATCAAAACTAGACGGACGACCACGGCTGACCAGACCAGGTATTCAAAGGACGGAACAGACAGACAGGCGAGATGGTTGCGCTCAAGGAGATACACCTGGACTCGGAAGAAGGCACCCCTTCGACCGCCATCAGGGAGATCTCGCTCATGAAGGAGCTCAAGCACGAGAACATCGTCGGCCTGCACGACGTCATCCACACCGAGAACAAGCTGATGCTCGTCTTCGAGTACATGGACAAGGACCTGAAGAAGTACATGGACGTCCGAGGAGACCGCGGCCAGCTCGACTACGTCACCATCAAGTCCTTCATGCACCAGCTCATGCGCGGCATCGCCTTCTGCCACGACAACCGAGTCCTGCACCGGGACCTCAAGCCCCAGAACCTCCTGATCAACAACAAGGGACAGCTCAAGCTCGCTGATTTCGGCCTCGCCAGAGCCTTTGGCATCCCCGTCAACACCTTCTCCAACGAGGTCGTCACCCTCTGGTACCGGGCGCCGGACGTCCTCCTCGGCAGCAGGACCTACAACACCAGCATCGACATCTGGTCCGCCGGCTGCATCATGGCCGAGATGTACACGGGACGCCCTCTGTTCCCCGGCACCACCAACGAGGACCAGCTGCAGAAGATCTTCAGGCTGATGGGCACCCCGTCTGAACGGTCCTGGCCCGGAATCTCGCAGTTTCCCGAGTACAAGCCCAACTTCCACGTCTACGCCACGCAGGACCTGCGTCTGATTCTGCCTCAGATCGACCAGCTGGGCCTGGATCTGCTGAGCAGGATGCTCCAGCTACGGCCCGAGATGCGTATCAGTGCCGCAGAGGCCCTTCGACATCCTTGGTTCAACGACTTGAACCAGCTGCAGGCTCAGCAGGCTCAGCATCAGGCCCTCCACAGCCACCAGCACCAGCAACAGCACCAGCATCCGCACCCGCAGCAAGCCCAGCAGCAGGCTCAGCAGCAGGCTCAGATGGCAGCCGGATACCCTGCCCCCGGCATCGTCTCTCAAAACTACTAACGCAATACTTTCCACTCTCTCTTTTTTTCCCCCTGCAGCGCCGGCGTTCTTGATCTTGCTCTTTGGGATAAACAATTTGATTTTCTATTCCTAATTCATGAGTTTATGTGCTTTTCCTGCCCTGACGTTGAATGTCTATGAAAGTAATGTCTCCTTCAAGTCCATGCTCAGGAGGCGTCTTTAACGAAATCACCTATCTTCGGGTCCCTGTCTCTTCTAGATAGCCAACAATGGAATAATACACCGAATTCTCCTACCCAAAACCATCTCTATCTATGGACTCAATCTATCCACTCCGCCGTCCCTTTTCAGCTACTTTCTTTCCTCCTCGTCGGCAATCTATATATGCACGTGACTGCGCGTTCGAAATTGCCCAACCTACTTTTGGCATTTTTCGATCTTCAAAAACAACCAAAAACAACCAACAAACAACCAAATCCTCAAACTGCTACGAGCAATGGCAGCGTCAACGTCCAATTCGGAGCCTACAAGTGCCGCCAAACAGAACGAGCCCCAGGAACCGTCGCCCTCGCCGCCACCCGCCGCACCCGTCCCGCTGACCCCTGGCCCACGCGCCTCGCGACTGCAGCAGGTCTTCTCCCAGGCGCTGCTACACACCATCCGCACAAACTCCTATGCCAACTTCTCTGCTTGCTTTCCGACGCCTGCAAAGCATGTTCCGCGCAGTCTGGAGTCGGTGTGGAGACAGCTGAACGCGAAGCTGGAGGAGAGCGCGAGGGCCGAGTTTGATGACATCCTGCATGAGAGAGGGGTGGTTAGGAGATTGAACGAGCTGGACAGGCTTGTGGGAGAGGCCAAGTTGCGCAGAGAGAACGGCGAAGGGGCCAACAGCGCGCCGTATGTAGAACTATTGACTGTCTTTATATATATACTTGCTGGTACTGACTTTAGACAGGGCGCATACTTTGACGGCGAAAGAGCTATACCAGGCGCATCTAGCACCGATTCTTGCAAAAGCGCAGTCATCTCTCGAAACTCAGACGGAAGAAGTGCAGAAAAAGAATACTGAGCTTGCATCGAGGATAGAGTCTCAAAGACAAGAGATCCAGCAGCTTCTCGCTAGCCTTGAGGCCGTCGTCGGAGATATACAAGGCGCGGTAAAGTCGATGGACGAATTCGATGAAGACAACACCCTACGAAAAGAAGCAGAGCAAATGGACGAAGAGATACGGTCTTCGCAACCTTCGTGAAATGTTCGTTTATATGTTGTTCCGCGGCTCTATGGATCGAATATTTTTTTTTTCAAAAAAAATTGCTGGTTGGATGCGGATTAAAATAATAGCTCGTTGGGATCCAACACTGCCATTAGCCTACTCAGGTCCTCGGGCGGTATGTGGCCGTCCTCGGCCATGTCGTCAGCTACTCGCATCATATACCCCTTCGAGTCTATGGCTAAACTCCCCATCTGGCTTGAGTCGCCAGCCAGCCCCTTTGCCAGAGCTTCTTTTACTGTGCCTTCGCGCTCTGCTTCCGGCCAGCCGTCTCTTCTGGCAGTGGCTGCTCCCCCGCGATAATAGGTTTCGGCATTCTTGAGCAGCGTCGCCGCGTTGTCCACGGCCGGTGCATAACAGAATGGAACCTGGCCTAGCCTCCACCGATGCATTTCCGCGTCACCCCGAGCGATATGTATCTTTGCCAGGTTATCTGGCCCAGCAAGCTTTGACGCAGCGGCTAGCCGACTCAAGGCGACCCCCAGGGCCTGCCATCGCAGATCTAAAGACCGTGGAAACCCTTCGACGTCGATAGCAGGGTAGGCATCAGCAATGGCTGAGCTGAACCCTATCAGGGCTTCGGCCTGGTTGGAAAGGCCAGCAGGATCATGCGAGACATCCACATTGTTGCTCCATGCGGAATCAAGTTCTTGCTTGTATGTATCTAGATCGATGCGGCCGCTTCGATAATTGACTTCAAGCAGGATGGAGAGGAACTTTGCCCTGACCATGGCTACTTCATTCGCCCTGTCTGTACCTTCGACGTATGCGGCAATCTTCTCTCGCAGGAGGTCGGACGAATACTCTTCTACCCAGACCAAGGTACTTCCGTGGTCGGACGACAGCAGTCCACACAGCGTTGCTAGTGCTTCCAGCTGCGCAATCGCAGTGTCAATAAGTGTATTCTTTGTTACGGGTTCAACCACAGCAGCCCACTCCTCTGCTTCCGTCGAGCCCGTCCTGGATTCACCTACGCCTCCCTGTGTCTGTTGTTTTTGTTGTTGTTGGTGCTGCTGCTGCTCATCCTGCTTATTATGTTGAGTTTGATGATCCTGCACCATCTGCAGCTGCTGTTCGTACTCTGTGAATCGCAACTCCTGTAAAACGAGACACCGCTGAAACAGCTCCAAAGCTTCTGTTAGACATTTCAACGCCTCTTCCGTCTGTTCTTCGTCTGCGTGTTTGCCTTCAGTGAGTGCTTCAGCTACACTGGTTAGTACCTGTGCAGTGTTAAATAGTATGTCTGCATTGTCTTGATCCTTTTGTAGGGCTTCTCGGTGGGAGTCGAGTGCGATTCGAAGGATGTCAATGATCGGCCCCGGTAGCTGAGTGACCAGTTTAGGATGCTGGGTAATTTCATACTGCACTCGTGCTCTGCGTGTAGACAAAAGACGTCAATATCAGCATCTGCTTTTCGAACACCATAAACGTAAACGGTACTCCGTATATATACATACTTGTTGTAGGCCAGGTCGAACGAAGCAGGGTACCGGCGTAACCCGGTTTCATACATCTCGATGGCCCTCATGAAGAAGCGCATCGACTTGACCGGGTCTCCGGCCCGCCATTTCTCTCCCGCTTCTTCGAGGTCGACTCCCTCTGTTTCGGCAAATACGGCAGTCAGCAAATTCTGTCCTGTTCACCCTCTCATCCGGTGGAACTATTGACGGGTGCCTGTAGATCTAAGCGTATCCCTTGCTCCTTTACTGACCAGCGAGAAATTCATCTGCCGACTCTGGTGCCTGCAAGTCCGATTGATCCGCGCGATTGCGAGCTATTAGCTTGGTGGCTTCCATGAGGTTTTGATAGCTAGCCTGCCTGCATGGCGGGCGGGGGGAAATTGTCTGCAACACACCACCTGTTTTCGTTTCTTCTTCGCCTTGGTCTCTTTCAGCAGCGTCTTCGGCTTTGGCATGGTTGTTCACACCCGGCTGCGACGCCTTTTATTCTGTCCTTGGGATGTGCGGTTTCGTCTGTCGTCCGATGTTGAAACGTTGAGAGACAAGAAGAAGAAGAAGAAAGAAGACGGAGCTCGCTTAAAAACTACGTCACTTTTTCCCGAATAGGCAAAAACCAAACCTCCAACTCCCGCATATCAAAACCAAAAACCAAAAACCAAAAAATAAAAATAAGATAAAATCACAAGAAAAGAAAATAGGGAGTAACTATAAGATGCAACTGAAGAATTTGATATACCAATGACCAAAATACACCCCACAAAGCTAACTTTTACCACCGCAAGTCGTATGATTGTTACTACAGGGCCCTGGAGAGCCCAAGAGCCCGGCCATTTCGATGCTAGCTAGTTTCCGCTTGGCGATGTTAGGAGAGAGAGAGACAGGTACAGAATCAGCTCCCTTACAGAAGGCGGGAGATGGCATGCAGTGGAAGTGCATCGAGATGATAGACATATAGCTGACATGCAAAGCACAGGGAACTCTCTTTCGAGATACCGAATGCGTACGGCCGCATCAGCCGGGAGTGCATTGCACTCGTATTGCTCGGTTTCAGGTAGATTCGGGGCCAGGAGAGAGATCATCGCACATCGAATCACAGATCACAAACAGAAGGGCGCTCTGCTCGCTGTTCTGGGGTAGAATTAAATCCTGCAACGCCATGTCACACTGGAGCAGCGCCTGGCCGTGTTATCGACCTCTTGAAGCAGCGGCATTGTCCAATCATGGCGGGGGGATTACCAGCCTCAATTCCTTGAGCACTCGTTTTGAGGCGTGTTTTACCTCCTTCTTACTCTGCTCTCAGGCGTTTGAAGCGGGGGATGGATCGACAATTAAGATGCTTCAGGCGAGAGAGACAAACTCCCAGTGGGACTGGTGTTCATGGGCCGGACTCTGAAGCTCTCCAATGTGCTTGGTAGCACGCTGTCTGACGCCGTTTCGACTGACAAATGTTGCAATGTCAGTTACGACAGGCAGGTAAACGTTGATAACTACTCCGTACAGCGGCAGCAGAGCTAACGAAGCCATCGTTGACTGTGAGAAGAAGACAAAACGGCAAGACGGCGTCTGCTTGGGCTGCTGCTGCTGTGTAAGTAAGTATAGAAAGGAAAGGCCTCTCCTTTGCATGGGTCTGATTTTGGCGATTTTTGATTGGCCAGATGGCAGGGCTTTTCTTTTACTGACCAATCAGAATTAGTTAATAACACCACCGCCGCATAATCGAATATCAGGCCCGATATCGAGCTGATGATGATGACGATCTATAATAATAATAACAATAATCATAATACCGAGCACCGAGAGAGAGTACAAAGTGCGTGATATGTAGAGGAGGTACCGAGCGAGGGCCCACCGTTATCGCCACCGCATGGCAACCCCTTTGCTGGAGAAGCCTGCGACCCGCCCATCCCTTTCCCCTTTCTGGTCTTGTCCTCCGTTTGCACCATGGGAGGAGACACGGATATCGACCCGTATATAAGTATTATACTCTCATATTATTAGCTCGCAGCGCCCGCTCACAGGCTTAAACCGACTAACAGCCATGCAGACGCTCCGCCCACCCAGCAGCAGCGCCAGCCTAAACTAAAAAAAGACCCAGTTATTCCTTTTTCTCCCCCTCCTCCTTCGCAAGGGCCGGCTTTTCCTCGTCCACGTTTCTGACAAGGGTCCGGCCTGGGCTGATGTGACGAACCAATCTGCGTGGGCGGCTGGTCGTGTTGGGTTTGGCGGAGGAAGCAAGGAGAACGGCCAGCGAGTGGCAGCGACGGCCAGAAAGAGTGAAAGAAACGCAGAGAAGACGGGCGCTGGCCGCCGGGGAGGGGGGAAGGCAAAAAGCGACGACGGCTTTGTTGCTTTGTTGGTGAGATCGGTATACGAGCGGACGGCGTATGGAGCCTCTCTTCGTCTCTTTTTCCTCTTATACTCCATAAGTGTCCTCGATTCCCACGCGGTCGAACTAACTATAACTACCTGAGACTAACTACTACTCTAGCTAGCCAGAGTGTGAGTCAGTCAGTCGAACTAAATAAAAGTCCCAGTTCTTCTTCAAGGCTGCCGAAGGAAGAGGAGACTGTCTTGCATCGATCAGCTGTTTTTAGGAGGCCTTCTTCTCTCTCCTGTGCTGCTGCTGGTGTGACGCTCGCCTTGTCCATCACCAACCAACACTCCCTCCCCCCCTAGTCGGACGTAAGTCGCATATTTCTTCCTAGCAGGCCCCCCAGTTCATGCTTATATGCTTGTCTCTTGCCTGCAGACACCTTCCCTCCCCCTGGCCTGCTGTCCTGCGCGGCATTCGCTCCCTTTTTCCCCCCTCCCATTCTCACGGCTGCCCTGTCGGCTGGTCTTTTTTGTCTTCCCCTTTCTCGTTGCTTCTTCTGCTGCTGCCTGTCTGTTAGCCTCGATTTCATCTCCAGGCCAGGGCTCTGACATTAACTATTTAAAACGAGCAGACCAAGTTTCACATCAGACACAGAAAAACCACAAACCACAAACCAAAAAAAAGAAAGGGACCGAAAAGAAATAAGATCCGCTCCGGAAAATACGCTGCTGCTGCTACAGTTGCCCGCTGGATCTCGCTGTCTCGTCGCACGATCGACAGTTCTCCTGCCGGCTCAAAAATAATATCCCCCTTCCCCCCCCCCCCCCCTTCATCCACTCTTATTTTGGTTCGGGGGCACCTCGACGGATAGAAGAAGACGAAGAAGAAGAAGCAGAAAAACAAACGAAAACCCGAGCCAGCAAAAGACGGGCGAAGAAGCAGGCAACGAAGGACAACGACGGCCCAGCTTCCCTGCCTTTTTGTTCTCCAGTTTTCGTAGCGTGGTTGTGGCTAGAAACACCATAAGATCAGGCACATCCCTCCTCTTTTCATCGTTCGTGTACCTGCCTCTCCCTCTTCTTGTCCTAAGATGATGTTGAGACGGTCTCTCGACTCCCAACGCCCCATCATGGCTCCCTCGGTAAGTTTCTGTTTTTGTCATCCTCTTCTTGCCTGTCGTCTGTCTAACGGGCGGTTCTCGCTAGCTGGCCTCGCAGCGTAACTCGAAACGATACTCTACCATCAGCAACCAGACGACGAGCAGCACGATGACCGGTGACAGCCGCATGGCCGAGATCAAGGAGCTCAGCGCCGGCCTCGCACGTCTCGAGAACAAGCGACTCAGCCAGCAGCGCTTCGTGCCCACCCCGGAAAAGTCAGAGAGCCTCAGCAAGCTGGCGTTGGGCGCAAAGGTCGAGCGAGCCCTCGGCAGGAGGATGTCGAGCCAGGATGCCGTCATGCGCAAGCCCGTCGTTCTGGACGAGAAGAACATGATCAAGTCGGCCTCTTAGATCCTGGATGGTCTTCCGCCCTTCAGCATAATACCACGATAACTACAGAGTACCTACGTTCGCGTACCGGCCTCAGCCTTATCCACTGATACCTCTGTTTTTCTCTCGCATTAATCTCCATATTTCGCCATACCACAAACAAACCCACGGCTCCGAGCCTATCGACCGCTTCGACGTCTATCTACAACACCGTACTGGCTTATCTTTTTTCCTAATACTTCCCTCTACCTACGTGGTGCCATCTCCCTCCACGCCCGTCGACCGCCATCCTTCTCTCCTGCTCTTCTTCTTCCTCTTTTTTTTCTTTCTTTACGAGACGACGATACAACGAGGCAGTCGATACGTCCAACAAACCCTCCTCCCTCTCTGTTGCTGCTGTTTTTCCCTCCCCTCGGCTATGCTCTCTTCTTGGTCCTGCTTTTCCTCGTTTCTTGTCATCTGTCCAGTTCTATCCTTTTGTGTACGAAGCAGTCTAATATCCATGTCAACTGTAGATGATGTCCACATACCATGAATGAAATTCCAGAGATACCTTGTCTACCCTCTCTACGCTCCTCCTTTTTGATTGCTTCCTTTCTTCCGCCTCGCTGTCGCCTCTTATCAAAAAAATAAAAGTAGCCTGGCAGTAGGACAAGAGGCTGTCACCGCAGCACAAGCGAGGCACAGGAACCGATACTTCTGCAGCCGACTATCGGCATCGCGATCTCTGTAACATAGCTCTATCAACCATTCTGTATCTTCTTCATCGTCCATCTTCATCGACTATCTTCGTCGTCGTCTTCTACTTGATATGACTTTTAGCGCGGAGAGTCAAAAAAAACAAGCGCCACGTACCTTTTTTTTTTTTTCCTTTTTTTTTTCGCCTTTTTTCTGACTTGACAAAAAAAAAAGTAACAACCACAGAAAAAAAAAAAAAAAAAGAACAACAACAACAACTTCACACTTCACAACATCAAAAGCTCACCACCTTCAGCTTCTCTTCTTCTCCCGTTCTCTTCTTCCTTTCTCTTCTTCTTCCTCTTTGCTTCTCTTCTTCGCTTCTTCCACTCACGGCCAGCCTGCAACCGCCGTCCTTTTTTCTTGCCCTCTTCACTCTTCTTGTCTTTGTTCCAGGCGGTTCTTCCTGCAGCTCGCAAAAGCTCTTCCAGCTGTCTTCCCTCCTATCCAGATAACTACTCCTGCTAATTATCCTGCTGCTGCTGCTGCCTCGATACGTGCGGTATCCAGCTGTGTCTCCAGCTTAGAATCTCTCTGGCTGCTTGTTCCTGGTCAGTTTGCTCTCTTTTTCTTCCTGCTGCTGTTGTTTGTCACAAGCGAAGACAGACACACTCAGACACACACTCAACAGATAGCAGCAGACAGCAGACAAGAAGAAGCATAAAAAGAAGCATCAAAAGAAGAAGAAGAAGACTGACTCTTGATAGAAGATATTCACGGCGCCAGCATCCGGACTCTGATATCTCTCCTCCATCCTCACGCCTCTCTGACTGCTCCGGACCGCCTACCGCGTTTGCCAGCCAACACAGCCAACACTCAACCACCACCAGCATGGCTACCGAGACCGTCCCTGCCGCCAACGGCACCTACCACGGCCACCACCCGTACCAGGTAGACCCCTATGCCGCCTCGCACCAGGCTGCAAACGCCTCCAACGCACAGTACGCGCCCCAGCAGCACGCGGGCACCTCCACACAAGCTCCCGCCGCCTCCCACGACTCCAAGAATGATATCCCCAAGGACGAGGTCGGCTGGTTCTTCGTCGAGCAGTACTACACCACCCTGAGCCGCACACCCGAAAAGCTGCATCTCTTCTACTCGCGCAAGTCCCAGTTCGTCTCGGGCGTCGAAGCTGAGAAGGTTAACGTTGCCATTGGCCAGCGAGTATGCCGTCCACCCTCTCCACCATAAATGTCTATATATATAATAGCTAACATCACATCGTAGTCAATTAAAGAGTGCATTGAAGGCCTGGACTACAACAACTGCAAGGTCCGTGTCCTGAACGTGGACTCCCAGGCTTCCTTTGATAACATCCTAGTCGTTGTTATTGGCGAGATGTCCAACAACCAAGGACCTCCTCGCAAGTTCGTCCAGACCTTCGTTCTCGCCGAGCAGCAAAACGGCTACTACGTCTTGAACGACATCATCCGCTACTTGAATGACGAGGATGAAGAACTCGCTCCCGAGGACGGCCCCGCCGCTGTCGAGGAGGCTCCAGCCGTTGACGAGCCTCAGGCTGCCGCTGTTGATACCGCTGCGGCCCCCGCTCCCGCTCCCGAGGCAGCTATTGATCGCCAGGCCGATACCGAAGCCGCTGCCCATGAGGTTGACGAGAAGCTCGAGAAGGAAGCCGTCAACGGTGAGGTCAAAGCCGAAGCGGCTGAGGAGCAGAAGCCTGAGGCTTCTACCACTGAAGAAGCACCAAAGGAAGAGGCTGCTGAGGAGCAGCCAGCTCCCGCTGCCGTTCTCCCTGTCTCCGCTGATGCCATCCAGCCTGAGAAGCCAAAGGGCCCAGACCCTTCCCCAGCAGACGTCACTCCAAAGGCCCCTACTCCCGCTCCCGCTTCCGCTCCTGAGAAGAAACCTGTTGCTGCTGTTCCAGCTAAGCCCATGAGCTGGGCCTCCGTTGCCGGAAACCGTGCTGGCACCACTCCTACTCCCGCCGTTCCAGTTGTCCCAGCTGCTGCACCCGCACCCGCTCCCTCTGCCCCTGTTCCTGCCACTGCATCGGCTTCCGCTCCGGCTCCAGCTGCTCCAACTTCTGCCCCCACAAAGACCCAGCAATCTACTCCTACTGTCTCTGACGCTGGAAACGAGAACCAGCCTCCAGCTCAGTCCGAATGGCAGACCGCTGGTGCCGAACATGGCAGAAGACAGCCACGCCAGCACACTCCTTCTCAGACTGAAGGTGTTCTCGGCTACGTCAAGAATGTCAATGAGAAAGTCGATGCTAGTCTCCTCCGCCAGACTCTCTCCCGTTTCGGTAAACTGAAGTACTTTGATGTCAACCGTCAACGCGTATGTTATATTACCCTACTATCTGTAGTTTACTTGTCTTGCTAACCTATGTCCAGAACTGCGCCTTTGTCGAATTCAGCGACACTGCTGCCTACAAGGCTGCCGTTGCCGCTAACCCTCACACTATTGGTACCGAACAGATCACTGTTGAAGAGCGCCGCCCTCGCGCCAACGCTTATGGCGGCAACGGTGGTTTCTCTGGACGTGGCGGTGCTGGACGTGGCCGTGGTGACCGCGCCGGTGGACAGGGCCGTGGTGGTTTCCAGAAGGACGGCCGTTACAACAACCCTGCCCGTAACAGCCGCGGTGGCAGCGCCTCCGGAAGCGGCAATGTCACCCTCAAGGGCCGCGGTCAACCACAGGCAATTTGAATTCTCCAATTCTGATACCAGCATGACCTGATGTTAAACCCTGACGCTAATGCTTATGCCGACACGTCAAGAACCCCTTTCCCCCCCATAAAAAGAAAAATTAACAACTACTTCACTACTTCATCGCTTCATGGGCCCTATCTACCTTTTTCTTCACCAAAAAAAAGGGCTCGATGGATACCACTTCTTCCTGGCTCCAGGACCTTCTCTCACCTCTTACAATTCCTGGTCTCTATGCCTTCTCCCGTCTTCACCTTTGATGTACAATTTTCTCATTACCCCTTCTGCTTGCTTGTTCTGCGCCTCCTTTCTTACCCGGTCATTTCTCTCTCCTGTCGGTTGGAAAAGCGTTTTCATTCTGTTTTGTTCTCCCTTTTTTCTGACATTTGTATTAACTCTTGCTTCATTTGCCATCATTGAGCCTGCAAGTTTCGTCTTTTTTTAGCATTACAATTCCCATCCCCTTGCCCCATTCTCATACCCATCCCCGGTCTTCTAGGTCACTATCTGCCCATGTCATTTCCCCGCTTCACCTTCTATGCCATCCTAATATCCTCATCCATCGTACCCCTTCCATTCTTCACCCTGCATTTTCACTACTTTGATTCTGAGAGCGGTTCTTCATCTTCAACTACCTTCCCATTGCAAATGTCTTTTTCCACCCTCCTCCGCCCACCTTTCACCGTTCAAAACCGTATGCATTATCCTGTATCCCTTTTACTTTCCCCTACTGGTTTCCTCGCTCTCGTGGCCGAGCGCGTATCTACCACACACGAAATTCCTCACCCGCTTCTTGTTCGCTTTTCTACTTTTGTTTTTGCATTCCCTGTTACAACATGCGTCTTTCCTATCAAGTACGTACGATGATTATGACTGACTGATAGATTGAAAGTTGGGAACGAAGGGCAATGGCTTTAGAAGTGGTTGATTGGGTGGTTGCTTGGAGAACGTCGATGCTCGATGCGATGATGGTTAGTGACTAGTTACCACGATGGATGACGACCCAGGACGGGAGACTTAAAATAAAAAAAATTCTTTGAAGAGCATGATGATAGTTAATGTACATCAACTTTATTGACTATCTTTATTTCTGTTTGCCCGTTGTCTTTTGCTTTTGCTCCTCGAGCATAAGTATTAACTCTTGCAATATCCCTCTATCGCCCAAGCTAGTTATCAAGTACAAACTACGATATTCAATGCACAAATATGAAATATAAATCGCCTCTGTATTAATTTTGTTTAGTCCTTGATACAAGTTTCTAAAAGTTTCTCCCGATAACAACAAGCCACCTGGAACGGTAAAGCAGAGAAATGCGAGATGACTGAAAAGCAACAGGATCAAGTACACAAATTAAAACAAGACGACGGGAGACAGAGAGAAAAGGAGATTAAGAAGGGGAGAAAACACCCTGAACGACAACAGAGGTCGAAACTCGCTTTGCATGCTGCATTGTAAACCATACTGTTGCGTTGTGTTCCTCTTATTTCTTTCGGTGGAGATTGCTGCGTGGTAATTGCTGGGTTGGTGGTATCGAAATACATGGAAGTGAAAAGGAGAGACATAGGAAAATCATGACACCATTCCTTTTTCCATAAGATTTTTTTTGGGAGTTTTTGCAATTTTTTTTATTTGCTTGAGGTATTGTCGCATGGCATTGGTATTTCGTTTATTTGATTCTTTTTTTTTTTTTTTTTTCATTTCAAGCGGAGGCGATGAGTTTAGTCGACTTCCTCCATGGCGCTGGCGGCAGCGGGCTCGTCGGCGGGAGTCTCCTCAGTAGCCTTCTCCTCTGGGGTCTCTTCCTCATCGACATCGAGGCCGAGAGAGACGAGCTTGTGGATGCGCTCGGCGAAAGCAGCTGGCTCCTCAATGGTGAATCCAGAGACGAGGAGAGAGGTCTCGTAGAGGAGCTGGGTGATGGACTTGACGTTGCGGTCATTCTCACCGTCAGCCTCAACCTTCTTCTTGAGCTCCTTGATGATGGGGGACTTGGGGGAGATCTCGAAGGTCTTCTTGGAGGCCATGTAGGAGCTCATAGAGGTGTCCCGGAGAGCCTGAGCCTTCATGATACGCTCCATGTTGGCGGACCAACCGAACTGGCCGGTACGGATGGCGCAAGGAGCACCGACAAGCTTGTGTGAGACAACAACCTTCTCAACGGCGTCACCGAGGACGTTCTTGAGGGACTTGGCGAGACCTTCGAATTCCTTCTCCTCGGCCTCACGGGCGCTCTTCTCCTCATCGGTCTCCTCGAGCTCGAAGTCCTTGGTGATGTCGACGAGCTTCTTGCCATCGAACTCCTTGAGCTGGGTCATGGCGTACTCATCAATTGGGTCAACGAGGTAGAGAACCTCGAAGCCCTTCTCCTTGAGAGAGTCGAGGAAGGGAGACTTCTGGACAGCCTTGATGGACTCACCAGTGATGTAGTACATCTGCTTCTGGTGTGGCTGCATGCGGGTGACGTAGTCGGTGAGGGAGGTGATCTCATCGCCAGACTTGGTGGAGTTGAAGCGGAGGAGCTTAGCAAGGGCAGCACGGTTCTGAGAGTCCTCGTGGATACCGAGCTTGATGTTCTTGCTGAAAGCAGAGTAGAACTTGTCGAATTGCTCACGGTCCTCGGCAATCTCGTTGAAGAGCTCAAGGGTCTTCTTGACAATGTTCTTCTTGATGACCTTCATGATCTTGTTCTGCTGAAGAGTCTCACGAGACAAGTTGAGAGGGAGATCCTCAGAGTCGACAACACCCTTGACGAAGCTGAGCCACTCTGGGATGAGGTCAGTGGCATCGTCAGTGATGAAGACACGGCGGACGTAGAGCTTGATGTTGTTCTTGGTCTTCTTGCTCTCGAAGAGATCGAATGGTGGGCGCTTTGGAACGAAGAGCACAGCACGGAACTCGAGCTGACCCTCGACGGAGAAATGCTTGACTGCGAGGTGGTCCTCCCAGTCGTTGGAGAGGGTCTTGTAGAAGGAGGCATACTCCTCCTGGGTGATGTCAGCAGGGTTGCGAGTCCAGATGGGCTTGGTCTTGTTAAGCTCTTCTTCCTCAACGGAGGACTCCTTGACAGTCTTGGTCTTCTTCTTCTTTTCCTTGTCCTCCTCCTCGTCGTCAACTTCCTCGACCTTGGGCTTCTTCTCATCACCCTCCTCGACCTCGGTGACCTCCTCGGCATCCTCATCTGGGACCTCCTTCTCAGTCTCCTTCAAGACGTGGAGGTAGATGGGGTAGGAGATGAACTCAGAGTGCTTCTTGACAACCTCCTTGATCTTGCTCTCAGTGAGATACTCAGTCTGCTCATCCTTGAGGTGGAGGATGATCTTGGAACCACGGCCGAGGGGCTCACCCTCGGTGTCCTGGGTCAAGGTGAAGGTACCACCGGCAGAGGACTCCCAGATGTACTGCTCATCATCATTGTGCTTAGAGACAACGGTGACCTTGTCAGCAACAAGGTAAGCAGAATAGAAACCGACACCGAACTGTCCAATCATGGAAATATCAGCACCGGCAGTGAGAGCCTCCATGAACTGCTTGGTACCAGAGCGAGCAATGGTACCGAGGTTGTTGACCAAATCCTAATAAAAAACTAAGTTAGCAAATTGGGGCAAAGAACAAAAAAAAAATTTCTTCAAAGTTCGAGTCAAATAATACTTACAGCTTTGGTGAAACCGATACCGGTATCACGGATAGTCAAGGTCTTGTTCTCCTTGTCTGGGATGATGTCGATGCGGAGGTCCTTGTTGGAGTCCAGCTTGCTGGGGTCGGAGAGCGACTCATAGCGAATCTTGTCGAGAGCATCCGAGGCGTTGGAGATGATCTCTCGCAGGAAAATCTCCTTGTTGGAGTAGACAGTGTTGATAATGAGGGAGAGCAGCTGGGAAATCTCAGCCTGGAACTCGAAAGTCTCAGACATGGCTGCGGTATGTGGCTGTGAAAATGACTGAAGGGGGTCTGTGTCCAACGGCTGTCAGCTGTGAGGCTCGCTGCAAAGTGGGAGGGAGGCAGCAGCTCGACGAGCTCCGCAGGCCTACTTACATAAAACGAGAGCTGTGAAGAATTGGAAGCTAGAAAGAGCTGTAGCTGTTCAGCCGTCGACGGACTGCACGTAGAGAGGCGTGGGAGGAGCTGGAGAGGTTGGAGTGTGAGAAGTTGAAGAAGTTGAGAAGTCGACGAAGCGAAGGTCCTTATAAAGCTCTGCACTTTTTCCCTTCTGGGGGGGCAAAAGCTTGCTGGAAGAGTCCAAGCGAACCTTCCATACAGTTCTACGAGGTACGGCGGCGCTAGTCCCGATCGGGCAGTTTTGCACTTCACCGCAACTGATAAGTGACGATAAGCGCAGAGAAGCAAAGAAAGTGAGCGAAGATGCTAGCATGTATGTGATAAATAAATACCTAGGTACTCCGTAGGTCAAAGTGAATAAACTAGTCCATAGCGTCTAGCAGAAGTGAGGTGAAAGAGAGGACTCCAGAACGCCGACGTTGCTCCCATCCAGTCCGGTCTAGTGATGCACCGCGGAGCCGTTTACACCAGAGAGACCCCAGGTCTGTGCCATCCATAACGCCAGTCCGCCCACTATGCCAACACCGCCCAACACCTGAACCAACACCCATCCCCGTCGTGAGAGGTCGTCTCCAAGCTTCAGCAGGCCCAGGGGATCGGCCGCGTTCATGTTGCCTGCTGCAACTCGATACTCAAACCGGCGGCCGTCCTGCGTGCGCACGCAAAGATTTCCTTTCTCATTCGCTCTGTCTACGATGTTCCCGAAACCGGGGAAGCCTGGTGTCTGGGAGAGCGGCACCAGGGTCCCGTCAGCCACGCATTCACCCAGCTTTTCGGTCAGCCATACAGCTCTTTCTCCACGACCCAGCTGCTCGTAGCGGCTTCTCTCATTTTGTAGGCTTTGCTGTAGGTCAGCAGCCCATTTTGCCAGTCTCGCCTGAGCATACTGTTCCTCGCGCCGAGTATGTTCTGTCATTCGCGCAAGCGTATATTCAGACAGTCCGAGCCTCTCACCTCGCGGGGCAAGCATATGCGAAGCAGATGCTGGTGTGGAAGGCAAAGAAGGGGAGAGATGCGAGTCATTGAGAGACGAGACGCCATAGTTGCTTGATGCTCGTGGAAAGTTGTTCGATGGCGCGCGGGGACGTGGTTGTTGCTGGGCTTCTATCAGCTTCTTAGCGGCAGAGTATCGGAACCACGCGGCGTTGTCTCTGTCAAAGAGTTTATCCAGAACAAACCCCAAGTCTGACGGGACCAATGGTTGTACGTATTCGGGACTCATAAGGACACTCGCATCCATAGTTTCATCGTCATTAGTCGTTGCAGAAGATGTCATAAAGGGAATACTCGGGCCCGACACATGATGATTGGTCAAAGATTCTCCAAAAGGACCGAAGCAAGACAGTTTCATATCTGCATCTCGCACCCGCTCGACAAAAGATTTCTTTATTGCCTGAACTTCATCAGGAGTATAGTTGTCACACTTGGCAATCAATGGAACCACCGTTGTGAAGTTCGATAACTTTTGAATACTGCGAATATCAGCAGTCATAGTCTCTGCCTCCACGTTAGTTCCTAATCCATAGATATAGCCGAACTCTCGGTTCAAACTCACTTTCGGTTATCAGATAAAGAATGACGTCTACCTGGGGACCGCCATTTCCGCAAAGCAACCCTTGGAAATCTGTAGTTACTGACCGTACAGCAGACACAGCTCGCGTGAATTGCTTGTTCATATATTGAATTATCACCTCCGTTTGTTGATCGGCATTCTTTGAACCGGCAAATGTGTCGACGAAGCAGAGATTCCTCTCCAATATAACATCACCCAAACTCTTTCTTCGCCGGAGGACACGAGAATCATCCATGTCTGACCACCAGGACGGGTACGGCTTTGTGCTAGCATATATCTCAGATATTGGTTCGCACTCCCTGGTACGCCGGGGTTTCGTACCCGCCTTCCGGCGAGACTTTGCCATACTCGAAGGGGGTATAGAAACCGAATCTGGCAACGGATCTATATGCACTATGTCTGCAGATACTTGTCCCAACGATTTCAATAACGAAGTCTTGCCACAGCCTGTTTAAAAGCCATTAGCAATCGGACACAGAGCCTGAATGAAGCGTGGGTGTATGTAATTACCCGGTGCTCCAGCAAGGAGGATCTTTAGCCGTCCCATAGCTTTACCCCTATCTGTAAAGGGGCGTCGACTTGGGATTTTGATACTAGGCATCACCAACTGGGAAGTACTGTCCTGTAACTCTGTTGACTCCACTGGGCCCTCATTTACATAAGGCTCGCCATCGGCATAGCCGCTCTCTTCCACTGCAGGCATATCATCAATATTCCTAAGTGACCGTGTTGAGGAGGATTTCGGGCTACTTGGCAGAGAAAATGGTTCGCCCGGGGAGCCGATAAATGAAGGAGTTCCAGAGAGAGTAATGCCGATATCTGACAATGGATAGGGAGGAGGTTTTAGTGAGTCTTCAGTCTTGTGTTCCTGTGTGTTAGGCATGACAGCTCTGGATGTTGCTGATAATGGTGAACTACCAATATCACCTTCGGGGGTCGCGTGTACATCATTGTGGAAGGGAGGCAACGGCCCGCTGATCCCATCATCAATTGTATCTGATAAGCTCTGCACTCCATAAGTGCTTTCATTTGGGGTACCTGGAGCACTGGCGTCAGATCCGTCCATTACGTTACCCCGAGATAGAAAGAATGCTGCGGGAGAGGCGTTCCGAAGCTCGCTGGATGGTGTTGCATTGATTATGTTCGGTGTGGTGGTTTTGCGGGGACGTTCTCGCACTGAATCGGAGGCTGCAGGGCGCATTTTGCTAATAAGACCTAGCACTATCGAACGATACTTGCATAGTTAGAAACGCCCGTCTGAGTGTTACTTGAGGGATGGATAACAGTATCTTTGCATCTGTATAGCTGTTACCCCTCCTCGCAGTAGGATGTGACCGCTTATCGCGTTGAAGATGATATGGCAATGATGATACCCATAAGGTGAGCAACAACCCCGTGACATGGGGTTTGCTGACGTTACGATGCGTGTTCACTAGTCCTTTTCAGGTTAAACACTTGCTGACCCCACTTTTCAAAAGAAGGAAAATAAAGCTTGGCAAGTCTTGTTATTAGGTAATCTATCAAACTATCTTGGCCCAAATCTCAATCAACTCTTTCATCTCTTCCACGATGGAGCGAGTTAAAGATTTCTATAACTATAGCAAGAGCTGTTCTTTCCTAAGTTCCAATCCAAACCTAGGACTGCAATAAATATCCTTTACTCTTGGTTTCTGGCTTTATTTATTTAAAGGAGAGCAAAGGCTAGTCAAACAATTGATTAGCCGAGTGACCATGAATTTTCATCCTATATACATATAAAGATGACTTACGCTCAAAAGGCTGCGAACATACCCGTATCACTATTGCTGCACGAATAATTTATAAACACCATCGGTCAACGCAACGGTCGGAGCAGCACTCGGGGTCATCGAAGCAGAAACCTGTGTTAGATTAAAATAAGACTGTTAGTCTATCTACTTTCCAGGCTGCATCAGTATGGTAGATAACTTACGATTCCTGGGAAGGCATCGTAGCGGCGTTGCTGAAGTTACAGAAGCAAGCATGAGAGCAGCTGTTGTTAACAAGAGTGAGACCTTCATAGCGGTAATGGAACTGGTAGAGCACGTTGTTTCGAGGAGTTCGCGGAGGAAGATATATTCTTATGGCTGTGGCTATGAATATATGTGGAATGTCAACGAGTATTTATACCGTGACTTCTTATTTATCATGCATCTTTGCGGGAACGACCTCCGAGGAGATCTATAGCCACCGCAAAGCCTAGTTACACATTTGTGCCACTTCTATGCAGGTATAATTGGTCCTTATATGCTAAGTAAATGAGTTATTGCTCTATATATTTGCTCCTTTGAGGAATGTTCCGCTTCATTGTCCACCCCCTACATGTACCTGGAAATTAATCAACAATGAATCAATGCGGCATATTTCTGGTTTGCTCTCTTAGCTATGCCGGCCAAGAGTTACTACGACGTCCTTAGATATTCAATCTAATACGCGGCATCCCAAACAGTTTGTGTACGTATGCCTTATCCCATTTCTCGAATTCTACGTGAGAAGATCAGGTCAATTTAGCTATCTATATGAGCTTGAAATAAAGTCTTGCTTCATGTGAGATTTGCCAACTTATTTTTATATACTGTCAGCTTCTAGGTAGTGCGTAGGTCAAGTTGAGGCATACCATGAGGCCTCTAAAAGTCACCTTCCCATTATAGACTTGTGGTTGGCAGATCTACTCGCAATGGGCCTAGCAACTTTTTTTTTCAGGAGACATGAGATTTACAATCCAGGCGGTGCCCTATTGTGCAATATATATCTAGGTATCCTTGAAGCTCAACGTGCCACATTTCTGTATACTCCTCACGAACACCGAGATGTAACGTAGGAAGTACGGGTAACATCAGTCATCAGTTAAAATTTACTGTCTATAAAATTCAGTTGGTAGATGAATTCTATTGTCATGGCAGCCCATTCCAGGCTATTGCAGTACTCAGAGTTTACTTCTGCAATCATACCTAGAAATAGGCAGGTTATTGGGATAGCTTTATTAAAACCATTGGAAGGCAAATATAGGAATAGTTCTCACAAGGTATCATGTATTCGCATTAAAAACAAGGGTTATTTGGCTATCCTTACGGGTTGTTTGCCAACAAGGTTAGACAGTAATTTGCAGATTATTGTCCAAGAATTGTGTAACTCGGGAATTAGATGTTAGCAAATAATCTCTAGTGGCACTTCAAAGAACTCTGAATACTTCCGTAACTAGATTCTATGTATGACGTTTTGGTACCTCAGGGTCGTGTATAGCATCGTGTTGTTGGGTACATGCTGAGAGTGCCAAAAAAATATAAACATCCAAAGCATGTATCAGCGTGAAAATCCCATAAAATTCGATAAATACCGCTGTTCCACCACCTGCTTTGATTGAACTGCTCCCGTTAGATATGATATGTGCCACTTACTTCGTACAAGGTCAAGCCCTTGCTCTATCAACCGTCACATGTAATTTTCTTGTGTATTATACCCAGTCGAGGGTAGTTGAAGTAAGCTGATATACAAACTGCCAGATGTCGGCTGAGGTTATCCGGGTGGGTGCAGGGATATTGAGCCATTCAAAGGTCTGGCCAGACGGGGACCGAATCTCCGGTAGAATTGAAATCTTCTTATGCGTGCCCACAGGGCGAGATGGTTATCCTCTCAGCTATCCGTAAAAATGTTAGCGTATTTTTGGGATAGGCTTTGAAGGCCCCGTAACTACATACATAGTTGCGAGCGAGACACTTACGTACCGGATATTATAGGGTAGAAGAGGGAAGGGTATTATGAATTCATTTTGTTACTTAAAACGCCCTAGATATCATTATGGAAAAGACAATATGTATTCTTCGATTCCACCCCGGGAAAATTTGACTTGTCAGGAAAAAGGTTAACTTCATTTTTTTTATTCTTCTTTTCTTGAGATAAATTATATAGAAAAATAAAAATTGAAAATGGGATTACGAGCTACGGGTCTTGTCAAGCAGGTCAGGCAGATATCAACCGGCAAAGCAAACTCTGAAAGTGGTTGAAAGGCCCACTCTAAAAAATTGGGACATCACTTTAGCTTGCGGCACCAGTCCGAAAGCCACCAAGAAGTAATAACGGATCCGATCCACTTCAAATTCCGAAGGTGTGTTTCCCCGCGGAATCAAATGGAATTTTCCGTGCTGATGGTAAGAAAACTCTGAGCTCTGCTTCTGACTGCTAGCGCCCAAGTGCGCACAAAAGCAAGAGCAAGAGCTAAACTCTCTACTACTCTGCCTTCGCGCCCTCCATACTGTGGACACAAACGGGAAAAGGAAATGCTCGTTCAATATACCGAATATCGGGCGAACGGAGCCCCGCATATTAACGACCTCGTTAGTCAATACTGATATCGTTGCAATTTTGCTTCCTGAGTCTCTCCCATCATTCCATGAATGGGATGGGATCCTGTACAGGGAGCCTGCCTTGTTTGAAGGGAATAAGCATTCTATGCACTTGTTAGTGTGGCTGGACAGTAATAATCCCTGACGTTAGCATGTATCTTATTGCGCAATGAGTGCCCTTTATCTATCTTTTTTCCTTTTTCCAGACTTCAGGGTCTCTTCCATTCCGCTTTGGAAAGTGTTAGCCAAGCACCCTTGATCATTTCGGGACACACTTGCAACTTCCGTGTGATTGGTGGAGTGGAGCAATCATGGATGGGCCAAATTAAGGTTAAGAATATGATCTAAGAATAGTCCAAAGCATATTTTTTTGTGGAGCCTTGAAAATCAGCTGTCATTCTCTCAACAACGTCCATCTGTATTTCTCTACTGAACATAGCTTACAATGTCTATTGTGGTGGAACAAACAGTGTCCATCAACACGATGCTGATGAATTCATATAATTGACACATATTATTGAGGGTAGAATAAGAAAGACACCTTATCTGTCTTTCAGGTACCTCATATTTACTTCCTAAGCAAATAGTCAGCGAAGTGTCAAGCCACATTAACTAGTACCCAGCAAAAAGACACACAACCTTGATTAGTACGAAGAATTTGAGAATACAGAGTGCATATTTGGTTTTGCTTTCGTCTGGTATAACAATCGACGGTCTCAAACTACGGTACCTGGTTGGTAATGGGAGAGGCCCTTCCTGCCAGCACTGTCACGTCAGGTACATCTGCACGGCTAAACCACCTCGAATAGAGTACGTGATACCAATCAATAACTCTGGCGATCATATAGTCCAATCCGGGCACCCAGACCTTTCTGGAGCCGCACCGATCGCATATGTACATGGCGCGCGGAGGAGGCTGAGAGGTTAACCAACCAGAGATGATATTAAGGAAACCCGCTCCCATACAATGAAATGATTAGAGGCATTGACTTTGACCCCGCGGAAATATCTCAATCTACCTTCTCCGTATTTCATAGCTCACCATTGTGTCGGGATTGAAATATTAACGGTAATAATTGTGTATCTACCCCATTCCCCTCATTCCCCCAGACTAGGTGTTTGTACCTGGTATCTCTCACATTGGAATAGCTAATAACTGGGTCCCAGTGAATACCCACCAGATAGCACTTGGTATTGCACTTTTATTTATTTATTTATTTAGTTATATGTAAATGCAGTTGACATGAAAAGGATCAGATAAGAGCTACGAAACCAGAAAAGGAGGAACTATCGCCATTGTTAGTTTTCTAACGGCGGCCGTTTTGCATACCTGAGAGATAGAAATCGCAGTTCTTCGTCCTACACTAGCATTCTGCAATTAAAAGGCTCACTTGGTATGACACTAATAATAAGGCGGAAATATTAGCCGCAAGTTTATGCTGTGGCTCCCTATCAAGCTCCCACCACCGCAGTCTCGGTGCAGGAGTTGATCACAGCGTGAGCGATCTCCACCCAGCTCAGGCCGTAAATGTCCAAGATAAGAGCACCCAACTGCGCTTATTCCAAGACATTTACAAGTCATCATCCAAATTAGTTATCTCGGTTCCGAAGGCAAATTATATCAGCTTATCGAAATTCCTCCTACTCCTTTTTTGTGGCGCACAGATTTCGGGAAACGGATGGTAGATCTTGATGCCAGTGACGAACACTTTGGATTAACCAGGAATGACGATATACTTGCCAGCGAATAAATCGAAGTGGTTCTTGTACTTCGAGCTAGTGATAATCGCGACAATCCTGTCGATGCCACTGCATTTCAGGGGTACTGCATGATTTAAAA